AGAGAGAGAGAGAGAGAATTATGGTGAGAGAATCCCCAAACTCGTGGTTTAGTCATGCAGTCGAAATGGTCATCATCTTCTTCAACCTATGTAAAACTCAAAACTCTGTTCCTAAATCTCATCACGGTTATAGCAAAAAGGAAAACCCTCATCAAAGATATACCCCAAAAGAAGAAACTCATCACATACTCTCTTTGCCGTCTCTTAAGGTCTTTCTCAAGAGCCAAATCCATTATTAAAGACATATCCAAACTCAACAAGAAGAGGTTGTTCATGATGATGTCTCACCCAACAACAAATTCATCCATAAACCATTGTAACGTCTTCGTTGGATCCTCCATTGTCATCGAACCTTTCTCTCTTCATGGTCATGACGAAGATGAGGAAAACCATGATCGTTAGCTCGAGTGGGTAGAAGAGAGACTCGATGAGAATAACCACATCAATGATGATCATAGACTCATAGTGTTGGAGAAATAGATGTTGGTGATGAAGATGACATTGATCGTTTGGCTGATAAGTTCATCGCCAAGTGCCACGAGAAGGTTGAATCTTACAGGAGATTCGAAGAAATGTTGGCGAGGGGTTAATTTGTGAGAGTTGGAAATAAGAGCGACGACGACAAAGAGTTTAATGCTGAGAGAATGAAACCTATTGAGTATGTTGCAAGGAATTAAGACTCATTTACATTTTGACGCAACTGAAATCAATTTCCCACTCATTATTACATGTTTTTAATTTTCTATTTCCATAAGCATATGAATGAAGAATCTACAATTATAATCGGTTTGACTTTCTCTCGTTGTAGCATCTCTCAAGCTTTCTTCAGCTCCTCCGCTGCGACATTTTTCTTCCCGCCATAATCGGTTGTCTTTTTCTCGTTGTTCATCTTGTCCACCTTCGATCTCCCACAGTTGATCTTTTCATCTTCACGGTACTTTGAGGATGATCCGAAATCCATCGGCGCCGGCGGGAACGGCCGGACTTTTGTTATCTCTTGCCGGAGATCATCCACGGATCTCTTTAACTGTAAATTCTCCGACCGAAGCTGCTCCATCTGCCGTCTCACAGCCAAATACGCCTCAGCCACGTCAGCACTTCCGGGTACACCCGAAACCTGACCCGCTTTATTAGTTTGTTTTGCATTTGAGCCGTCCACGTGTTCGACAGCGATTTTATTAATCACCAAGAAAGGGATTCTCCTCAACGAAATCTCAGCCGTCGGATTAAAACCATGCTTTGTCTCCGTCGGAACCTTAACTCCCCATCGAAAATTCACGACGGCGCGTCCTCTCAACGGAAAAGACGTCCTCGCCGCGAAATCAACGCCGCAGAGCAGTCCAGCGATATCTCCGGCACACGCCGAAGGCAGAACCGTGACTCTTTTAAATGCCCCGGCGTATCCGCCGCTGACCACCGGAACATCAACGACCTCAGTAGACGAATCCTCCTCCGACACAGATTTGTTCAGCAATTCGAAAGCAGAGGAGGAGGAGTGTGATTTTTTAATCGAGAAATCACCGAAGCGAGGCTTGAAGTGAAGCATGAAGGTAGGGTTGTTACCATTTCGTCCGACGAGATTGAACTGGGCGGTCATGAGCATGGAGCTAGAGATCGGAGAACCGAAAGATCCAGTACCGGTTTTGAAGATGAGCGAGAATGGATTCCACGTGTCGTTAGGACGGTAAGCGAATTTGAGAGATGGACCAGAGTCGAACAAGGTAGAGAGATTGAGACTGAGCTCTTTTGATTCGCCGGCGACGACACCTGATTGAAACGGTAATCCTAAAATACTCAAAGGGACCTTAGCTTTCAAAATGGGCTTCTGCTCTTCCCGGAACTTCATCGACGCCTTCATCTTCTTCTTCTTCTTCTCAACAATTCGATTCTACATAGTATAAAACTTGAGGAGACTGAGAGTGTGTGCACTGTGCAGTGATAGGAGTGGGTTGGGGGAGATATAAACGAAGTTTTGGAGCTTCAGATTTGGCAATTTTGTATGTCAGGCGGAGAATCTGCTAATTATTTTGGCCGGACATGAGCACTTAAAATCACATGTTTGGCTTAATGGTTCACTTCATTCTGTAATATTGGTGCAAGTCCCGATGCGGAAAAATAAGTTCATCAGCTCCATGTCAGAGTAATGTTGTGGCGGGGTAATTTGATATTTATCAAAACCGCTCCAAAACGAATACAAATTTCAAGCAAGGGTCTTGGTTGTATTCACTATATAGAAATTTGGTGTACTTAATTTAAATTTGATTAGGGGAAATGATTCTGTGAATGATGACTAGTAATCAAGGTAGGTTGGCGAATGGTGAATGGTGAGTGAGAGAATGTGCTTATAATTCATTATACCATGATTTTGATTTCCTTATTCCCCGGCAGGGAGCATACGTGTTAACATGTGGAACTCAATCATATACGACATCGAACACTTTTAATCCAAATTAAGAACTAAAAGTGTTATATTTGTAAGTGATCCGTTTTAGTAAGTTTCTGCATATTATTTTTGAAAGAATAAATGTTAGAATTTGAAATGTGATTTGCGTTTGCCATGGATCCGATAATCACAAGTTAATTAGTTAGAACAATATTACCGCCGTTGTAAATTGTAATTGCGTATAACTTGATATAGGCCGGAGTATATATATATATAGTTTTTTTATAACTAGAGAACAAGATTTGAATAAAGAGCCAGCCAAGCACACGGATGAGCTAGGAGGATACACCAGAAGTTTGTAACTGGTAACCACGTCAAGTAGTAAATAGACCCATACGGCTCTTCTCTCTATCCATCGGCCACGTTCCGACAATATATCGCATCTTCATTATTAGCGGTTCGTCTGCTCCGAATCCTTAAAAAGAGAGCACACAAATTACCAAAACCCTTTGCTGTTTTCCTTTTTAATTAAAACCTTTTCATGCTATAGGTACGCTGCCTGCTTGTTTATAAAACAAAAATCAATTGTTCAGTTTTTCTTTTTCTTATTCTTCCATGCACAATCTTTAATTTTCAGCTTCAAGTTTTTTTTTTTTTTTCCAACTAGTGTGTCGTATATTAACTTTTTTAGGATGTTACTTTGACTGAAATTGATGTATATAAAACGCATACACATGTATTAGTTGTTAATTATATATTGTTTTTTTTTTCTTTTTATGTGTTTAAGATAGTGTATATATCGCTTGTTGAAGATATTATATAGAGATTTCAAGATATTGTTACTTATATCCAATAGGTGTTAGAAAATCTACAAGTACATACATAAGATATACAACACTACGCATTTTTATTCAAATGAGTTGACCCAATATTTTACAAAAACACTTATATATTAGGAATAGATTTGTTGATGAACTTATTATATATGTCTTCAATGGATTCACATGGTAAAAGATCAAAATATAAAAAGTAAACCAAGTAAAACGAAGAAAACAGTCGTCAGGAAGTGCAACTGCCTCGTGCACCCGAGAGAAGGTCATGCCATTTCCATTGTCCAGTGATGTCCTTATATATCATTACGTCCGATTTCGTACAATCTTTTCTTTTCCTTTACTGTGAAAAAGATTAGTGCATTCTTATCTGATCCCTTACGCTAATTATCATAATTCAATTCGTTTATAGATGGTTTCTTAAACTCTCATGAACATTTATACGTACGTATTTAAAATCTATACCACTAACTGTGACATTTATATATATGGTTCTTACCAAAACATGTCTATATGCTTAATTTACACCTTTGCATGTATATTTATTTTCTTTCGCAGTATATATATTTAAATCAACATACGTATCTAAGATTCTCGTTGTTAATAAGGCTGTAATCATAGATTAAGAAAAAGGTTTTGGTAGTGGTCCACACATAAATTGTATATTTCTTGATGTTGAACTTTGGAGATTGCAAATGATAAGGTAGTTGAGTTTGTGTACATTACATGGGGACATGTTTCTGAGAGATCCTCCTATAGGTATTTATTTAATTGAAGCCACCTGGATTTACCTAATCACACACATTAATTGCCATATACACTAATTCATGACTACTTTTACTTTCGTTCGATGACTATATATATGTTGAAATAAAAATACATTCCAATTGGAAAATATTGTATCATGTGTCACCTTCATGAATTATATATACATATATATACTCCAACATTACTATTTTATATATGTGAATGTCATTTTACACCTGTACACATTTTTAATTAGGTGTATAATTCAGAAAACGATAATAAATTTCATAATATATCGTATGTACGAATATATAATATCATGAATGATACTCTAACAATTAATATGCTAAATATACATATAGAATGAATTAATGTCTTAAGACATTCCAAAACGATCGAGGATTTTGTTAGCTGGAGGGGGTCCGTGGACTTGCTTTGGATTCATAAAATCGCATGTCTTTGGAGACAGCCTAACACATCTCTTTCACCAATATAAATGTAAATCTCATATAGTATATGTTTATTAATCCAACCATATAGTTTATCTATTGAATCTCAACAAGCCATCATTCAATTTCATTTGCCTTTCTTAAATTATATATAGGATCTTACGTACGTACTCTGCTACATATATAAACTAAAAATACGAGTTGACAAAAACACTAAATTTATATTAGTTGCCACTAAAACTTGTAACTCTAAAATTAGGTTATTCTTCTCTTTATCATTTTATTCTCTCTCATCTCCTATATGGCTATATATAACCTTTATCATCATATATTCCACACTTAGCATAAAAATTTACCAACTCTCTCTTCTGATCACATAAACCCTAATTTTCTCTGTCGTCTACACAAAACTATGGAAATTGAAGCTGCCACTCTTGAGAAAAGAAGAAACATATCAACCATATCCATGCACAAACAGTCAAGAACACTAGCCAAATCGAAGCCAAAGATCCGAATCATCCACATATTCGCACCGGAGATCATCAAGACCGACGTCTCCAACTTCCGTGAAATCGTCCAGAATCTCACCGGAAAACAAGATCATCACCCCCACCAAAAGGTTCTCAAAAGAAACCCTAGATCTAGAAGAAGTCATGATCATCAAGTCCATGACATACACAAGAGCCATGGATTCTGCATAAACTCAGAAGCAGCAGAAGAAGAAGGGATGGTTTCGATGACGTGGAACGGAAGCGGCGGGAGCTCCGGTGGGTTCTTGAACGGATTAGGAGATTACGACGGCTTCATCCACGAGCTAGATGGATTCCCTTATTTTCCCTTGACCATTGACCCTCCCCTTGCTTCCTCCCACTTACATGGCAGCGTTTTCGTAGAGCCTCATCAATACTCCTAAATCGTCTAAAAAAGGGGAAACATTTTCTTTAAAAGAAAACTCTATCTAGAAGCTAATTTTTTTTTTCCAACCGTTATAAAGTTTTACTTTTGGATAATCTTGTGAATTGTAAGGGTCATTTGGGGATTATAATTATTACGAGAGTTCTATTTCTTAATCATTTTTTATAAGTAGATATGAATCATAAAGAAAATATACTTGACTAGAATGATAAACTGAAAATAGATTTTCCCAAAATATTTTTTACCCAAAAAATCCTAATTTTCTATGTAAGATTCTGAAAATCTATAACAAAATATCATTAGGTTTAGCTTTAAACACTTTCTTTCACTCCAGAAAACTTATATATTTGTGATATGTTTTCGTCGTTTATCCCAAATGGACCGAGAAATAGATATATTGATTGATTGACTGATTGATATTTAACATAAGATAAGTACAAATGGGACCATAATTTATTCAAGATATCAAATATAATATATTATATATGAAAACTACAAATGTGAGCCGACAAGTAACCATAATTACAAACGTGTGTATATGCATGTATGTGTGTCATGTTGGTGAATGGTGATGATGCCTGACTATAATGATGGAAACCACACATCCAAAGACAACTATCATCATATCTTTTGATCATAGGCATTGTAAATCAACGAACAAAATGTTAGCCAGAATTTTGAGAAGATTGCCGATCCAACAATCGAGAAGGAATATGCTTTAATGTATGGAGAGATGAGCCTCAAGTTTAACGTTATTATCTTCAAACATTTACAGACACCAACATGGTGGTTGGTTCTCGTAAGTAACACAGAAGGAAGATAGGAACAAGAACATTGGCTAGTAACATCTAACTATCGTATTCAACAGTTTCTACAATAGTGGATGATGGTGTTTCCATCCTCGTTAGAACTTCAGGCACTCCTTCTGTATCTCTTACTATCTGCGAAAAAGGAAAAACAACCAAAAAGAGATAAAACTTGGTTAGTGCAACGATCTCAGCCCCTCTTAACAAATTCTGAGCATGAACTTGGGCAAAATATCCAATAAACTTACAAGAATCTCTTCGTCTAGATAAGATATCATGAAGAATCTTTCATAGGATCCACCTGAAGCAAATAACACTAGTTGGTTCAGCGCACATGTGAGCAGAAAATGGTCTATATATAAAATAAAATAATGAATAAAGTAGCTTACTCAGGGGTATTCTTAGCCCACTGGCTAATGTATCCTTGATAAGAGCAGGAAGCTGCTGCAACGTTGTGGCGGCTTGACCCAATGCGCCTTTTAGCTGTTCAGGAACTGATTCTTCAATGACCGTTGGGGATTCGACCATACCTTCAATATATTCTTCTCTCAATCTCAGAGGTCCCTCGATGGTCAATTTTGATGACAGAATGATTTTGCTTTCTATCTACATTTTTATTGCCACTGTGAGAAAACTCCTCTGTGATTCCACTTTAAAGACATAACCAAGCTTTAAAAAGCGTTTCAGTGTGTTACCGAGTTCAGAAGTTTGATATTTGCGGTCGCCCTTGCGTTGGCATCCTTGATCAGTATCTCCATTCTTGATAAATTAGCTATTGTTGAAGGAAACCTCCTGAAACAATACAATCAGAAAGCAAAACACTTGTAAACTTTGAACCAAAAAAAGAGTGAGAAAGTGATAACTAGGTAAGTGTAACTTACTCAAATGTAACCCGAGCAGCGAGTAAACCAGGACTTCCAGACCCAAACCACTCAAAACTCCATCTGCCTTCGAAACAAGGAGACCTGGAAAGCTATAGGAACCAATTAAAAGATAACTAGCCTAAAACAAAAGCAAAAAAAATCGTAACCAAAAGACTAAAAGAAGAACCTACGTGGTTGGCCTGGGAGTTGGGTTAAGCCGCTCTAGACTCGTAATCCTCTCATTCACATCGATCCTTTGCATATTGGTTGTTTTCCCTGTAACTAAAGCCTCAAATCCTCCAGCATCCTTCAACTGTACATAGATAAATCTTCAGGAAAAACAGTATTTGAGAAGTTCAAAACAGAGAGCTGTTCTGATATATTTAAAAACCCCACAATTGAGCTGAGACATGATCTCAATCAATTCCTAGACTTTGAGAAACAAACAAAAAATATTTCTCTTTTGTAATCTCCAATGTCTTCATTACAGCTAACAAATACACAATTCACCTGAAACTATCCCAATTTTTTCCTCAGCAAAAGACAGATATAGTAAAAGAGACCAAATTTCAGACCCAAGAGTGAAATTGAAGAGATCTAAAACAAGTAGATATATTTCACATATCAACGAACTAATTCAAGTCCAAAGAAAGTGAGAGAGAAGCCTTACAGCGAGAAGTAGCGATTCCTTAGCAGAAAGGCGCTCCATTTCTCTGGCGTAAACTGAAGGAGATCCTTGAACTGTTTCCTGCACCATTGCTCTTAAACCCCTTCTCCGGCACGAACTCCTCCAGCCCTTCACCACCGGAACCGCGATAAAACCCCTCGACGGTGAAGCTGAGGCTAAAAACCCCAATCGAACCGGAGATGTGCCCGAAATCGAACCATTTATCATCGCCATTGAAGAAGAAGAAGAAGAAGCAGGCGAAAGAGAGTATTTTTTTTGCTTTCAATAAAAAAACCTCAGGAAAAAAGGATTTAAAGGTAGGAGTTTCTCTGATTTAACCGGTTCGTTTCCGGTTCAAATTAAACCCCTTTACGGTGAACCGTGATTTGGGATTTGATATAACAAAGAAGACTCTCTTTAGTGCCAAAGTTGAAACCTTTTCCCGAAATTTTCTGCTCAGTTCTGAGTGTGTGTGTTTTTTTCCCGCCACGGAATCCATGGAAATCGACTCCGAGAAGATTCACGAAAGGAAGCAATCGGAGTACAATTACCTGGTTCGAAAACCCTTTCACTGTATTTACTTCGATTGAAAGACGCTGGGATCTTGTGTGCTCAGACTCTTTCTACTTAATTAGAGGAGCTAGGGTTCGTACTCTGATTCTGGGTTTTAATTTTGTTGCAATTGAAGCAGGATGAGAGATTCGAGATACACAAGGAGATGTACAGAGGGCAGCAGTACAGTCAGATTTACTTTGCTCGTCTTCATCTCATGAGAACACTTCTCTACTCTCTTGCCCCTACTTGGAAACCCCATTTGCCTGGTCAGTGCTTTGTTTCTCTCATTTTTTTGATTACATGTTTTTTTAACTCTACAAAGAGGAGCAATTTTGAGAATTTTCTTGGCTTTAGATATTATTTGGTGAAAATATCAGTATTTTGTTTAGGGATTACAGATAAGAAAGATTTTTAGTATTACTTTTCTGGGTAATTGAGGTGTTTAAATTATACATCTAAAAATGTGAAATTTCATTTTTGCAGTTTGTAAGGTTTTGGGACTTGAAGAAGGAAAAGACTGCATAATTGTAGGAACCTTGTTCAAACACATGAAGCTTAAACCTTGTGTTCTCGATGAATATTCTAAAGAGGTTGGTTGGTTTCTGTCCTGCATCTACTTGGTTTTCTTGTTCTATGTCTACTAAGTTGAATCAATCAATTTAACTTGCTGAGTACATTAAACATAATGCAGAGGTCAGTTACTCCGCTTGTTAAACCACATAACTTTATGCACCCTGATGATAATCTCATTCTCGAAGACGAGAGTGGGAGAGTTAAGCTTGGTGGCTCTGCACTTTCACCTGCCATATATGTCACAGGTATGCAAATGTATTGTGAATGTTCTTTGCTGCATTTTTTAAAAAAATTTTGCGTTTATTAAAATGTGGCAGATGTTAGAGATCTTGTTTGAGCTTACCTCTCGTAAAAGACGGGGTCTTTGAGAAAATGACTGTTAAAGTATCCGTGGATTGTAGGTGTTGTTGTTGCCCTACATGGGAAGGAAACTAGTGCTGGTGAATTCTTTGTTGAGGATGTACTAGAAGCTGGTTTACCGCCTCAGATAGAGCGGCCTATCGATCTACGTAAGTCTAGCTATGTTCTCTTCCTTTTGCTATCCCCGTCGCTCAATCATATCTATAAGCAATATCTCATGGACCATATTACATCCATAATGTTCTGCAGAGGAAGATAAATACGTTGTGCTATTGTCAGGGCTGTGCATTGGAAGCAAATCGGCTAATCCCCTGCAATTTCAGCTTCTTGTTGACCACATAACTGGACATCTCGGAGATGAGGAGGTTCAAAATCTTCGTACTTGCAGATTCTTTAATATTTATTTTTACTTAATTTGTAATGTATGGTTTGAACAGGAACAAGGCCTTGCAGCACAGATAGTACATGTGGTTATAGCTGGAAACTCTGTTGAATTTCCCCGTAAACTCATTAATGGACAGGTAAAATCATATTCATAATTTTCAATGCTGCTATTTTTTCAGACATTTTCATTTATCTAACCACAATTATGACTATGATCTTTGTAGAACTTGGCCTCAAAAGATCAATCAACACTATATGAGCCCATCAAAGAGCTTGATATCATGTTAAACCAGGTCAGTTAACCAGATCCACCTGTGGGTTATCAATTCTATTGAGATGAAAAATTCAAATTCTTGTTTTTTTGTGGATTTCCTTAGATAGCTGCAGGAGTATCAGTAGATATCATGCCAGGCCTGAATGATCCAGCAAACTTCGCATTACCTCAGCAGGTTTGTAGATACATAAATAAACATCTAAAAACCGAATTTGTGTCGACATATCTGATCCTTTTCTTTTGTTCAGCCTCTGAACAGATGTCTTTTCCCTGGATCTGCACCGTACAACACCTTTAGATCATGTACAAATCCTCACTCATTTGATGTCGATAATATCAGGTGTGGTTATTAAGAAGAAGGGAAACAATCTCTCTGATTCTTACCGCGATATAATTGCTTGAGTTTATCTGACGAAAAACCTCAATTGGGTGTTAACATTTTGCAGATTTCTTGGAACTTCTGGTCAGAACATTGATGACCTTGACAAGTACTCAGAGGCTGAAAGCAAGCTTGATTTTGTTGAAAGAACGCTGAGATGGAGACATCTTGCTCCCACAGCACCTAATACGCTTGGTAAGAGCTCACCTCCCCCTGGAAAACTAATCCCTCAAGAAAAAGGAAAGGGACAATAATCTCTTCCGCGTCCTTTGGTTTGATTTACTTGCGTATAGGTTGTTATCCTTTCACCGATAGAGACCCTTTCTTGATTGAAACCTGCCCTCATGTCTACTTCGTTGGAAATCAAGATAAATATGACAACCGTTTGGTAAAGGGTATAACCTCCTGACACAGCGATTATAAAAACATTGTAATAGTTTATTTTTGTCGAACAAAGCTTCTAAGTGTTTTTTCCCGGGAAATATGAATGTTGCAGGGTCTGAAGGGCAGCTTGTCCGGTTGATCTGCATTCCTAAGTTCTGTGAGACCGGTATTGCTGTTGCGGTGAGTTGAAATTTTACCAAAATTTACTCCATATTCTTTCATAAATTGCAGAATATATATCTCAAAAAATGACCATTGTTTATTTGCAGGTGAACATAAAGAATCTAGAATGTCATACTCTAAGCTTTAGCACTCAGGTAAGAATCTAAATATCATAATATTGAGCTGCTACGTTGGTAGATCGTTCCTGCCTGTCTTGGAAATGTAATCTTGAGCTTTTTCACTAACACTCACAAGTTGTATGTTACTTCTTAAGAAGCATCCTTCTGGTTTTTAATACTAATGAAACTTCTTAATCTTATTGGTATCACTTCCTTCGGATAATTTTTTGATCCTAATTTGGTTTTTGTACTTTCAACTAAAATATCGACACAAGGTCGTAGCTGTCCAGGAACATCGACGAGTTTTTTTTTGAATTGGTTTACCATGACATCCTTTTTCATCAAACAAATGGTTGGGCCTTTCCTGGATTTGGTCTATTTTAATATCTAATAGTTATTATAAAAAAAAGTACTAATAAATAGCAAATATTAGGCCTTTTTTATAATCTTTGGATCTAAAATTCAAAGAGCTGAGGTCACGTCCTATGTTTTTTGTTTTTCTTACGTCCTATGAGTTTAAGATAGCAAATTGTATTCTGCTTAAATTGTCACAAATATATGCTTTGGTTTCTTAACAAATAATTATATACTATGATTTTTCAATGTATTTTCTGGATTTGTAACTAAAAACAAAATTGATCACGAGTTCTTAGGTGTGTCACACAAAAGGACAAAAAGGACCGACCAGATAGTGTCGTAGACTCGTTCGTCGTCGTTGGTAAGAAGAGCGTGAAAAGACTGTAACAAACAAAAGTTAATCTTCAAAAAATAAAAAAAAAGAGTAAAGAAAGAAAAAGTTGAAAAACAAAGGGCACAGAATCTCATGCAAATGTCTCTTTCTCTTTCTTTTTTTTTACACAACGGCTATATTATCCACACAGTTATTAGATAAATGTAACGCATTAATATTAAGAAATTCACCCACTATATTCATTCCCCCCCAACGGTCCATTTCTTTTTCAACTTCTCCCTCCTTTATAAACCCAACAGTGCTAATTATACCGTCTTCTCTTTAATTTCTTTTCTTTTCTCTCTGTCTCTTTAATTATCTTACTATTACCCAAGATGGATCTTGTTGTTGTTATCACAGAGACCAATCCGACCAAAATCACGCACGTTAACAAGACATCCTCCGACGAATTGCTCCGTAAGTTCGCCGATCCAGACGACGACCAAGAGTCAAAATCATCATCCAAACGCCGCAAGAAATCTCAAGATAAGATCAGTAGTACTCGAGAGAAGGACGCTGCAGACAATACCGAAAGTAACATAATTGGCTTGGTCGAGAGGAAACGTCTCTTGCTTGCTCCGGCCAGTAAACGGAGATCTCTGTTTCTCCGGCAGTTTGCTTCCGGAAAATCACATCTCAGGAACAAGTCTCTCGTCAGAACTATCGGCAAGGTAAACTTATTATATATCTACTACACAGTTATAACTAAGCTGCCTGCCCTCTCTCTTAATTTTTATAACCATTTTATAATTAACCTTTCTCTACTCTGTTCTTAAAAACTCTGATCATCAGACATGGCGTAAAACAATGGAAGGAGCTTCTAGAGTTTTCATCGAGAAGCATTATAACAGACACAGGCGTCTCATCAACGACGTCGTTTAAGCTTCTTCAACCAACCTTTTTTTTTTCATTCTTTCTTTCTTTTATCATAATTTGTATTTTGCATAAATTCGTTTTTATTATTATTCTCAGTTTCTCACTTTTAGTTCCGAACATGATGAACCCTGTGTGTTTAATTTATTTTGTAAAGATTCTATCCAAAATTTAGTTTAATGGTTATATTTTATAATGTCACAAAACAAATAAACTCTAGCAATAATCAGCACAACACAATCTTTAGAAGCATACAAAAAAGCTTTGTGTGTTGTACTAAGTTCATATATATATAATTCTTCCTTTTAAAATGAAGGAATATGTAGTCCAAATTAAACAACAAATCTTTATTAACCAACATAGAAATATAAAAACAAAAGAAATGAGATACCTCATAATAACAATTTATTTTACCAAAATAAAGCATTAAAAAAAGAAAAGGAGCATAAACAACGCTCATCACCATGAATGGTATGTTTAGCATTGCTGACAAACTTAAAAGCATTTCCTGTGAACAATGGCCGCTCCATTTTCTTCATACTCAGCCTTAGTTACCCACTCCTACAAATATATGCACATCACAAACTTTAGATCATTACAACAGCCCCCAAAAGAAATTAACAACTAATAATATATTTATTCTTAGAATTTATATATATACCTGTTGAAAGGTGCTTAGAGAAGCCAAAATGGAGCCTCCCATCCAAACACTGTATTTCCTCTCTGCAGGAGCCGCAACTTTAACCTTCATGCTTGCAGGTGCAAGGGCAGTTATCTCTTTGCTCATCCTATCTGCAATCCCAGGGAACATCGTCGTGCCACCACTCATCACCATGTTTCCATACAACTCCTTCCTTATATCAACATCACACTTCATTATCGAATTGTATGCCGTCTCGTGAATACCAAAGGTTTCCATTCCAATCATAGACGGCTGGAAAAGAACCTCAGGGCACCTGAACCTCTCAGATCCTATGGTGATCACTTGACCATCAGGAAGCTCGTAGGCTTTATCGATTGCCGAGCTCGATGTAGCCTTCTCCATCTCTTCCTCGTAGTCGATAGCTATGTAGCATAGTTTTTCTTTGATGTCTCGGACTATCTCGCGCTCCGCTGATGTGGTGTATGTGTACCCACGCTCCATCATGATTTTCGTCAGATACTCTGTTAGGTCACGGCCTGCTAGATCTAGACGCATGATCGCATGTGGGAGGGCATACCCTTCGTAGATAGGAACCGTGTGGCTCACACCATCTCCTGAATCCAACACAATACCTAAACATGCACGAACATTTATATATATAGTAACGATCATATATATTTTCTCAAGCAATTTTCAGCCTTATTAGTATTTTTGAATTGTGAAGCTTGAATAGGAGTACCTGTGGTACGACCACTGGCATAGAGGGAGAGAACGGCCTGGATACCAATATAAATACTAGGAAAAGCAAATTGCTCAAACATGATCTGAGTCATCTTCTCACGGTTGGCCTTTGGGTTAAGAGGAGCTTCAGTGAGAAGTATAGGGTGTTCTTCAGGATCCACACGCAGCTCATTGAAAAAAGTGTGGTGCCAAATCTTCTCCATGTCATCCCAATTGCTAACAACACCGTGCTCGATTGGGTATTTAAGAGAAAGAATACCTCTCTTGGCTTGAGCTTCGTCTCCCACAAAGGACTCTTTCGCATCCATTCCAACCATCACTCCCCTGTGTCTTGCACGACCCACTATGCTTGGAAATACACTTCTTGGTGCATCCTCTCCAGAGAATCCCGCCTTCAGATATTTTTTTACCAAATATTAGATCTGCTTATACAGCTAACTTTCTTGTGTTACGTACATTAATATACATATTTATGTTTATTTTTACGAGAAAAAAAAAACTACTAAAAATATTTGAATTTCGAAATTATGAAATGCAAATACGTATATTGTGTTTTCAGTTTTCTCCTTATTAGTCCTCCTTACCTTGACCATTCCAGTTCCATTGTCACACACGATAGCCAATTCGTCATCTAGTCCCGAGTCCGACATTATCTAGATTAAACATATCAAATCATATTTTTAAGTAACAAATGTTTATAAAATTAATTGATCATCAATAAGAAGGCTCTAACGTAACATAGATATAAAAACCAAAACTAATTAATAACAAACACTTTGTGGAAAAAGCAGAGATCGATCATAACAACTTATATCGATGCTTAATTTAAAGGTCATAAATTATATATAAAGAAATCCATCAGTTATTCATAAATCAGTCATACAAATAAAATTAGCTCGTAATCTAGATGCATAAATTACTCAAGCGGAGATATATATGGTGTTAAATTGGATCAAAAGAACCCTAGCTAGAGTCATTACAACGATTAAAAAACAAAATAAAAATCAATCGTAGGAGGAAGCTAGGGACATGAGATCAGAACAAAGAGGAACAATCGTTTACGTTCAAATATTATGTTGTTGTTGGACGTCTTCTTCTTCCTTAGCTCTCTTGTGTCTCGTCTCGGCAACAAGAATGCTTTGGACAACAACAACAAAAAAAATCAATCGCGTGTTTCCTTTATAAAGAGAGAGACATTGAGTCCTTAACACTGGTAAAAGAGTCATTTTTTCCTTACCTTTTTAGCCTTCTAAATAAGTGCAAATCTTTCCTAATCTTTTGGTTTTTATTTTTCTTTTTTATTATTATTATACATTATATATATTAAAAAGCAATCTAACATAATTGAAATGAGAATGATTGTGTGTCTCAACCTTAACCTATATTAGACATCATTATAAAAAATAAAAAAACTAGATTACCTATAATTTATTGAAAGAGTAAAAACAATTACTAGATTAACCCAACACATTTTATACTAGATGAATAAGACATACATTTTGTTTTGTATATTAAATAATAATGCGACATATGTAACTAGAAACCATCAAAACCATGTATAATGTAATAATTTGATTAGTTTCTAATTTCATATAATTTAATGTACTAAGGATTTCTATTTAATTAGTTTCTTAGTTTATTTATTATTTTAAATAAAATAAAACAAATGGTTGATATAAAATAAAGGATATACGTACATGTTGAAGAGGTGACTCATATTTAATAACTGTAATTAAAAAGTATATATATTCTAACTTAGAGCTACAATAACTTTTTTTTTTATTGTAAATCAGAACTTCAATAACTATTATGATGTTGAATCAAGGGCAAACCAATATTGTATAAGACATTTTGTACTGATAAAATATATGTTAAGATATTAAAAGTTAAGTAGTATGCATGCTACCATGTAATGTGGAAGAGCCAAATTGTTAATAACTAATAATTAGATATCGCTCTCTTTCTAAAGTAGTTAATCTTATGCTTTTCCAAACTCTGTAGTCTATAAATGTTCTCATATACGATATTTATTTTTGCCATATACTATGGGCTTGTTCTTTTTTATCAGTCGATGTCTACAACGACAGCACAAAACGGCGATGGCAGCCAAACACATAACAAAAAGAGTGTTGCATTTACTTAAAAGGGATAGTCAGAATTCCGGGCGATGGAGTGACTCTTTTAACAACAACGGAGACAGGTTTTAACAAAATCAGTTACTTTTTTTTAATGATTTGAACGTTGGCAATGTTTATTTTGTAGTTGCAGATAATGGTCGATGCAACCAAGTAACGAACAAAGCCTATACAGTATAGTATACACCACCACAATACTAGTTTACGCGTCGCTAATCTCCGAAAACATTTTTTTATTTTTAATTGATGATTCTATTCTCCGATCCGAAAGAATATGAATATAAAGTCAATCAAACAAAAAATTTGTTTTAGAAAGAGCAAAAATATATACAACACTCAAGAATTATACGTAGAATCTCTAACTTAATTTCTTTTTATCTTAAAAAAAAAAACATAAATCCGTTTTTCTTTTATTTTAAAAATTTCCAATAATTAATATTCCCATTTCTTTTACATGTTTTCGGTTAAAAAAATATCTTTAACACATATAATCTCAAGAATAGTTAAGTAATTTGGACATGTTCATTCTTTTTTAGGGGATACAACATCAACATGCAAGAACAAGGAACCGAATCCTTTTTTTGACATTTTGACCAAAACAAAGAAATCAGTTTTGTAGAAAGCAGAAATTAAAGAAGGCTAATATAAGCATTTCTTGTGAACAATTGCCGCTCCAGTTTCTTCATACTCAGCCTTAGTTATCCACTTCTGCAAATATAGACATTACAAACTTTACATTATAACAAACCCCAAAATAACTTACAGTAAACTTCAAAAATATACTTTTTATATATCCTATTTACCTGTTCAAAGGACCTTAGAGAAGCCAAAATGGAGCCTCCGATCCATGCACTAAACCTCCTCTCTGGAGGAATCACAATTTTAGTCTTCATATTAGAGGGTGAGAGCGCAGATATTTCTTTGGACATCCTCTGCGCGATCCCATGGAACATCGTCGTGCCACCACTCATGAGAATGTTTCCATACAAATCTTTCCTTACATCAATGTCACACTTCATTATCGAATTGTAGATCGCCTTGTGAATACCAAAAGATTCCATCCCGACCAGAGACGGCTGGAAAAGAACCTCAGGGCACCTGAATCTCTCGGTTCCTATTGTGATCACTTGACCGTCGGGGAGCTCGTAGGTTCTGTTGGTTTGTGCGGATGTTGTAGCTCTTTCCAATTCTTCCTCGTAGTCTAGAGCTACATAACAGAGTTTCTCTTTCATGTCTCGGACGATCTCACGCTCGGCTGAGGTGGTGTATGTGTAGCCACGTTCCATCATGATTTTCATAAGGTACTCGGTTAGGTCACGGCCTGCTAAGTCTAGACGCATAATGGCGTGTCGGATTGTGTAACCTTGGTAGATTGGAACTATGTGACTCACACCATCTCCTGAATCTAACACAATACCTAAATACACATAAAATTAACCGAATAAGTCATGGATTGTTGTAAGTGCAATTTATGCATGCATTTGCCTTTATTCGTGAGAACAATTGAGCAAAAACAAATAAATCACATTTTAGCATTTTTAATTATCTTAATTTTATGTGTTTGATTGTTTGCATTTGTCTTAATAAATTACCTGAGGTACGACCACTAGAATAGAGAGCGAGAACGGCCTGAGTGGCCACGTGCATAGCAGGAGTATGGAAGGTCTCAAACATGATCTGAGCCATCTTCTCGCGATGGGCCATTGGGTTTAGAGGAGAGTCAGTGAGAAGAACTGGGTGTTCTTGAGGATTCACACGCAGCTCGTTGTAGAAAGTATGGTGCCAAACCTTCTCCATGTCATCCCAATCGTTAACAATGCCATGCTCCATTGGGTATTTAAGTGTTAGAATACCTCTCTTCGTTTGAGCTTCCTCTCCCACATAAAATTCCTTCTCGTCAAATCCAATCATCATCCCCTTGTGCCGTGGACGACCTATGATGCTTGGAAACACAGCCTTTGGTGCATCATCTCCGGCTAATCCCGCCTTCAAATTAATTCACTAATTAATTCTTTAGTTTTTTCAATCTTGTTTCCTAGACCTAATTATCTACTACTCCGTTTACGTTGAAGTAGTAATCTCAAAATAAATTTAAAAATTGGTAATTATAAATACAAACGGCAGAGACCAAACTATTTTCCGCTTGCATTCTCATTTTGCAAAGATCCTTTTTTGATGATTAAAAATTAAATAAAAAGTTTCTGATGTTTTCTTTTGTTTTCTTCTGTCAATGCATAAATATTATTTTGTCTAAAGCAAAGAAGCCTTACGAAAAAATTAAGAGTGATTGTATTTTCTGCTTACCTTGATCAAGCCAGTTCCGTTGTCACACACGATTGCCTCTAACGCCGACATTATCTAAACTGGACATAACATGTTTCAACAAAAAGTTTTTTAAAATCATTGCTAAGAAGTTCTGACACAACATTATTTAACATATAGTAGAACTGTAAAACCAAAATTAAATCATAAACCAATATGCTGGCCATGGTAAACAACCATATATATATATATATATTAACAAAGATTATGCTGATTGCTAGCAAATTAACACCTTATTGAATCTTAATGATATAAGCTCATGAGAGAGAGATTAATAGGTATCACATCAAAAGCAACATAAAATCTTGATTTTTATAGTAAATCATCGTACAAGTAACTTTAGCTCTAAATCCATGCGAAATGATTTACCGTACTACATGAAGAAAACAATGAATGAGAGAAACTCAGAAACTACATTTTGCATCTTTTGAGACAGACCATCAAAATCAAAGAGTTCTCTTACTTTCAAAGATTCTGTCTTCTTAGTTGTTGTTGTCGTCGTTGTTCTTCGCCTCCGATTTTGAGTTTTGAGAAAATCTTACCGCTTTGAATTGTTTATAAAGGGCATGGAAAGAGAGACGTGCGTAGGTTGCAGTGTTCCACACTATTATGTCTTTCATTTATTTTTTACAAAAGAGAATCCTCAAATTTTGCATTTAGATTTTTCTACCCAAAAAAAAAATAAGAAAAAGATTACTAGGCTTCCAAATAAATCCAAAACTTCCCTAATTTTTTACTTTTTTATTTATAACTTCTCATTAAATTATTGCATATATTTCTAGTTTATATTATATAAAAACTAAATTAGCTTTAAATTATTAAAAAGTAAAACTTACTCATTTAACCCAAAAAAATCTTATCCAAGATGAATGATGCGACACTTGTAACCATTAAACCCATTTTTGATGTAATAATTTAATTAGATTCTTAATTGATGATTTAGTTTTAATTATTTTATAATTCCATATTTTTAAATATTATGTGAAAGACTCAATTAGATTTATTAACTTATGAATTCAGGTAAATTAATTTAATCTATTTTTTATGAAAAACATTCTAAATACATATTGGAGAAGGTGACCAAAATTTGATAGTTATAAGTACAATTGAATTTTATGTGAATTATAACCTAAAGTTACAATAAAGTATTATGATTGTACCAAAAAAATATAAGAAATTTGGTATAAACAAATTATATGATAAAAATAATTATAATTTTTTAAAAACTATATGTCACCATATATTTTAAAATAAAAAAAACTATATGCACTATATATTTTTAAACAGGAAAAATATGTGAATCAAAGATCCTACGGCTTTTTTTCTCTTATATAGGCTATCTCCTCCTTCACTAAATAGTAAATAGAACTCATCTTTTCCTACACAAAAAAAAAAAAGAAGAAGAAGTAAAACTCCAAATTTACATTTATGTTTTCACTTTTTAGCCTTCCATATGATAAAATTATTTCCTAATCTTTGATGATGAATGTGTCAACATCAGCTTATAAAGACTAAGATAAAAACTAAACTAGATTTAATATATTGAAAAAAAAGAGAGTACAAAAAGATACTCATTTATATAACCCAACAAAACTTATACTATGAATGAATAATAATAACGTGACATGTGGTACATTAGAAACCATGTGTATATAATGTAACAAATGAGTGGATTTCCCCAATTCATGATCAAAATTTAATGTTTTAAAGTTTCATATATCAATATTATGTGAATTATATATAATAAAATTTTGATCTCTTGCTCACTGAAGCAAAAAGAAAAGCTCAATTGAGGTTAACAAACATATATTTTGGAATATTTGAAAACAAAATTTGGACCTAAACCGCTATAAATAACCCAAAAGAAATGGTACGGTAAATTCTAATTTCCAAGTGGTTTTACTCAGTTTACGGTGGATCTTCAACAAAATTCGTGAGGCAGAGAAAATAATCAAGTAAAAACGTTTCATCCGCTCGTAGTTAGTTTTTATTTATACCGGCAGTAAATATTGAAATGACCTCCTCCTAATCCTATAGAGTGTTGGGTGGGTCAAACCAACTGAGTCAAGCCCGAGTCACGTTACCCACATCGGCTTTGTTTGGTTTCTTCCTCCTTGAAAGACTCAATCTTTTCTCCTCCGATCTCACAGAGATGAACGCCGCCATTAGAGCAGCGATTCTCAGGCCACAGAGCTTCTCTTCTCACCTGAAAGTCGCGTTTTTTCATTCAACCCCTGTCTTAGAACGCAAACGTCGTACTTCCTGGGAATCGGTCAGTCTCTTCTAGCTCTTTCTCCTCCGTCAAATTTTTTTGATATTTGTATTTGATTATTCCCCCAGCTCAACTTTTCCTAATTCTTTGGATTCATCCATGTCATTTTCCGTGGATTTGTGTTGTTCCTCTGTGGGCGTGGGATCATCTCTAGATAATTGATGTGGATCGAGATACTATGGCCATGTCCTTGTTTTCTCATTTTTAGCTTTTGTAGACAGGTTGTTGAAAAATGTCTGGGTTTTTTTCTTATGCAGACAAAATGTTGGGACTTTTAAGGTTTTCTTGTCTAAATTTTACTAGACTTGAGAGTTTGAACTGGTCTTCTGATATTGGGATTCATTTATCTGCAGAAATCAAATGTTCACAAGAAGAGGTTCAGACGAATGAGAGAGAAGCAAGAATTATTGCGTAATGTCAATGCTTTTGCAGCAAACATGTTTACGGTATTCATTTCAATCTATGTTTAATCACTTTTTCTGTTGGCATCACCTGTGTTTGTCTCTCTCCGGTTTCTACATTTTGGGCTTTATCTGCTCTGAAGTAACATTTTTGATAGTTGATACTGAATATTTAATGGTTTAAAAGTGGGAAGGATCTGGGGCTATTGAAACGGATATGCTAGTGTATTGTCGTCTTGGGTTAAAGTCTTTTGTCCATGATGTAGTGTTTCTTATTGCACTTTTGTTATGGTGCATTTGTTTATACTATTTTGTGGATTTTCATTTGTAAAGCTCTCAAACCTGCGGTTAACATTTTGATTCCAGAGCTGGCATGATGAGTTTGATGACGATGGTCCCTCCTCTCGAAAGCAAAACTCGTGGTTCAAAAAACAATACTCCAAGGAACCCAAAGGAAACCAGAATAACAAAAACGGCTCCTACAGTTGGGGTAAAAGTAAGTGAATGTCTTAGCTCTGTTTCTCTTTAATGACTACACTACATGTAGGAAAATTGGTAGGTATCTAGCTTGTTCAGTGCGTCTACAATCAGATCTTGTTCCTTCTTTGAATTGAAGTGTTTAAATTGTTTAGTCATCAATGTTAATTCTTGAGAATACAAGTAAAGGTGTTTCTTCCTTTTAAGTTTATATTGTTAGTCATCAATGTTAGTTCTTGAGAATACAAGTAAAGTCGTTCAATGAAGTTTGTATATGTTGTTTGTTGGCCTCAATCTGGTTCTGTTTACTAACCTCCGGCTTATCGTGGACTGAGGCTCATCCTCTGAAAATCCATTTAAAAGTTTTCTGTACTAGCTTACATAATAACTGAAATTCCTGGCTCATCATGGACTTAGGTCTTCAACCTGTCCTGTGTATTACTAAGGTTTCACAATTATGTAGTATTTCGTTGTTGAAAGTTGAAACTGTATTTATGTCATTTTGTGGAATCAACAGGTGCAGTTTTGTTTGGCTACATACTCATAACAATAGTTTTGTTCCGCTGTGTAGGGCATTTTGATTTTTGCGAAGTTGATGACGACTTTGAAGTCGACTATGTATTCCGAACTGCTTTCGGTGGATCCCGAGGTTTCTCATTTTCATTCACCCATGAAGAGGATGAACCTCGATGGCAGCATCACTCTTCAAAGTTTTCCAACAACTCTAAGAGGTCTTGGAGATCGAAATATCGGGTAGGTGAAGATGAAGAAGAAGATGACTATACTTCAGAGTCTAGCGACTCTGAGTCTGAGCCAAACCAAGTTTCTCATAGACAAGCACTTGGCCTGAGTCCTTCAGGCCCTTTAAACCTTGAAGATGTCAAACATGCGTGAGTAGTTAACTTCACTTCAATAACCGCATATTCAATTTCTCACCACTTCACATCAAACTCTTTTTTCTTTCTTGTTTACCAGATATCGAACTTGTGCATTAAAATGGCATCCAGATCGTCATCAAGGCTCTACAAAGGTATTCAATAAGATCTCCTCCTCTCTGCTCAGTGTCCATATAAGGTTTCTTTTCGTTTTATCTCTTGTGTTAATGAATCTGTGATGATATGAAAACAGGTGGCGGCTGAAGCAAAGTTCAAGCTCTGCAGTGTGGCTTATCAATCTTTATGCGAAAAGCTATCAGTGAACTAAGATCGAGAGTTAGATAGGTTTTGATTACACTTAGAGATATCTCATTACAATAAATTTCAGAAATTGTTTTAACTTTTTTTTTTTTTATATAACTTTATTCCAAAGGAAAAGCACTGCAAGATCAAGCAATGCCTCTGTTCTGTCATAATTTATTTCTTCTGATATTACCACTGATGTGTTGTTGTATTAATATACATCTCTTATGCCCTGCTTTGTGCCTTGCCTTGATTTGTGTTTGAACCGGTTACAATTTGGTCAAGAGGAAATCATATGATTGAAACAAGCCCAATCCTTCAAGCCCATAAAACAAGGTCTCTTTTTTCTTTTCTTTTTGGAATTTAGAGGATATTGTTTATTTATGAACAAGGCAGTCCTTGGAGATCAAGCAAAAACGATTAAGTAAAATATTCCATTCTTAAAAAAGGAAAATCTTCTTCTTCTTTTTTTTTTTTCTTTCTCAAAAAATAAAATAAAACACTCTTTCGTGGTGAATCACATTCGGTTAAGACGCAATGTTATGTACTCTCCTACAGAGATGAACACTACAGCCGCCATCAAATCAGCGATTTGCAGACCACAAAGCTATTGTTCTTTCCTGAAAACTGCTTTTTTCCATTCTACTCCCGTCTTAGAACGCAAACGTCGTTCTTCCTCTTCTTCGGACGGTCTCTTCTCTACATGTGTGGGTTTACCTAGCTTACATTGATTTATATCAATTTACCAACACCTAGATTTTTGAAAGCAGAGGATAAATTTATATATAGTTTTGGATTAATAGGTGTGAAAACATGTTCTGATTTCTTAGGGTTTTACATATGTGGCAGAAATCAAATACTCACAAGAAGAAGAGAAGTAAGAAGTTTTTGAGGGAACATCAAGAAGCAGTGCGTCGTGCTGTTGAACAACTTAAACAAGAAAGAGAAGAGGTAATTACATTGAGACTTATGATGTATATAACACATGTTTAATCACTTGTTTTGCTTGCCTCTTAACCAAAAAGTTTCTATCTAGCTGTAGTGTATTCGGACTCTGTTGTTCCTGAACCATGACTTAGTGTATCTCTTGGTGTAATTAATATCAGGCCTCCAAGAAAGCCAGAGAAGCCAAAGAAGCCAGAGAAGCCAAAGAAGCCAAAGAAAAACAGAACGCCTCAGCGAGTTGGCGTAAAAGTGAAGTGCTTATATATCCTTTGAAAATGTGCAACTTTTCTTGGATACATTACTCATATAGTCATATTCAAAAGAACATGTGTGTTTCCATTTTTGCAGAGCATTCTGGTCACTGCGATGACGACTTTGAATCTATATTCCGAAATCTATTTACTGAATCCAGAGATTATCATTATTCTACCCATAGAGAGAAGGAGCGTCACTGGTGGTATAACTCTTCATGGTCTTCTAATTACTCTAGTAGCAACTCTTGGAGATCGAAATATAGATTTTATGAAGGAGAAATAGGAGAAGAAGAAGAGCAAGAAGAAGAAGAAGAAGATGGCTATAGTTCAAGAAAATCCAGCGGCTCAGTGTCAGAATCAATCGAATTCCAAGCTTCTCATAGACAAACACTTGGCTTGAGTCCTTGGGGTCCGTTAAAACTCGAAGATGTCAAACATGCGTAAGTTACTTTACTCCCAAGTTCAAACACTCACAAAAAAAAAAAAAGTAACTAAAACATACATGCTCACCAAACTTGTTGTCTTTTATGGACTCAGATATCGAACTTGTGCATTAAAATGGCATCCAGATCGTCATGAGGACTCTACCAAGGTAAAACACCAAACACGATCTTTTCAAAATCCTTTCAAGTGTTCTTTTTTTTGGGCGCTAATTCTTAAATATATAAAATGACAGGCAGCAGCTGAAGAAAAGTTCAAGCTCTGCACTGTGGCTTATCAATCTTTAATCGAAAAGCTAGCAGTCAAATAAGTTTTTTTTTTTTTTTTAGTAACACTGAAGGGTACTAATTAGATAGGCGTTGATTACTTAAGAGACTTCTAATATTTTAGTGTTGACCTGAGCAGGCAAGCAATGCCTATATGAATCTTTATCTCACTTACCTGCTTTTGTGTCCGAACCGGAACCGGTTCAGCTTAATTTGGCCAAATTAAACCGTTTTTGGGTGCTGAAAAGTGAAACCAATCATACCGGACCTTTGGCTAAGTGAAAGAGTCATTTCATTCCACGACACAAATCATATCTGATTAAAAACGGGAACTCCTCAAATGTCAAAAAATTTCGTTTTCAATTGATTGGCCTTTGAGAGAGAAGAGTCATTGACAAAGAAGGTATTGCCGGAACTGAAGATATTCCGGTGAAATTCCGGTTCGTATAATGCTCAAGGCCGTTCAGATCTTGGGTTGGTCATCAGGGTTAACCATCTCGCAGAGATTAACGAAGACCCGCAAGTCCTCGACTGTCTCTTTCATCTCTACATCTCTCAATCTCTCCACTTTCTCCTCTGTAACCTCGAGCTCTCCTCGGAGAATCTTCTCTTTTAACCCAACCCGAATGTCTTCCTCACTTCCCGGGTCTGACCCAGTTGCAAATTCTCCAGCTTTCGTTTCTGTTCAGTCAGCTGTGAGTTTAATTCATCTCCTGTAAAGATCTTATCTTTGGGGTTTCTGGTCCCTTCAATGGTGTGTTGTTGCTGTTGCAGGTTGATGTTCGAAAGATAAAGTTCTGTCAATGGTGTGGAGGGCCGACGAAGCATGAGATACCTGATGGTGAGGAGAAACTGAGAGCTATTTGCACACATTGCGGCAAAATCGCATATCAGAATCCTAAGATGGTACTGTTCCTTTTGATTCTACCTACAGTTTTGTTTTTGTATTTGTGTCATTATACAATGTTTGATTAATGTGAAATTGCAGGTTGTAGGTTGCCTTATAGAGCATGAAGAAAAGATTTTACTTTGCAAGCGTAACATTCAACCTTCACACGGTCTATGGTACGAATAAGAACACTTTCTCTTTGTTCTGTGTACATAATTCATGCGAAAAATTTGAGTTTTTATTGGTAGTGAATTCTGTGTGAAGTTCTATGAATAATAAGATGGGTCTTTTGAGTACACAGGACTCTTCCAGCTGGTTATCTAGAAGTTGGAGAGTCAGCTGCACAAGGTGCAATGAGGGAAACTTGGGAAGAAGCAGGAGCCACTGTGGAAGTTATTTCACCTTTTGCGCAACTCGACATCCCTCTAATTGGCCAAGTAAAGATACATGCAAACATCCCAAGTTTTCTTTCTTCATATTAATGATTCTTATTTGGCTCTGTTTGTGTTGGATCAGACTTATGTTATATTCTTAGCCAAACTGAAGAACCTACATTTTGCGCCTGGTCCCGAATCATTGGAGTGTCGTCTTTTTGCACTAGACGAGATACCGTTTGATTCCCTGGCTTTTTCATCTATATATGTTACCTTAAATTTGGTAAGAGTATAGATAGAGAAGAGTCTCATTTGTCTTCAGTTTCCATTTAGATTTCTAAAAACCATGTTTGCTTTTTTCGTTTTGGATTTGCAGTATTTGGAAGATCTGAAAAATGGGAAACCAAAGTTTCACTATGGTACGATAAATAAAAGGTGCGTCCAATTAATATCCCCGTGTGTCTAGTGGTTGTTGAGAGATACAGTTAATAGTTTTGCTTCTTCTTTTTATATGCGACTGATTATGTGTATTGTTCTTTTCAGGCCTGGAAGTAGCCCTTCAGATATTCGCGCCTTTAGTCTTGATTACCATTTGCAGCCGTGACTCGAGGTTTGACAATCCTTTCCTTTGACATTTGTAATCTAGATTGTACGGGGCTATAATGAAGTTCTTTAGATTGGAGAGTATGATTCAAGCTAATTTGAGCTTTTATCCACAGTTTACAGAAGCAGCTCCCGGACTTGTTTCGTTCATTTTGCACCTCGTTGTTGACTAACAGAAAAGGAAAAATGAAGTTGCTTATGTGAGACATTGCTTGGCCAGATGAGAAACAAAAAGCCTGAAGATAATTTGGACTGAACTTTCTTTTCTATTCGTGGTTGGAGTAATAAAATTGGATGGCTTTTAGGTATCTCATGTCAGATGTTATGGCTGAACAAAGTGTTTCTGTTTCTGGTTTCAGTTGCTTCAATTGTAAAAGGAAAAAGTCAGATGTAGTGCAACGTTTTGATCAATTTTTGTGTAATTAAGTTACTTGTGTAACTGTTACTTACTTCAAGGTCTTGATCAGTGAAAGAAAGGGAAACCAAAAGATAGGATATTTATTCAGCCAGATTTAGGGAACACAAGAACAGAGACAATAAAAGGTCTTATTGGCACATGTAATGCATCGAATCAAATAAACTGAAAAAAAAAGATAGCAGTGACACAAACTAAGATACATCAAACGACAGAACTGAGATTGAAGGATCCTATCATGTTTGCCAGAGCAGAACTCATATCTAGCTCAAGCTGAAGCTTCTGGAGTTCAAGCTGTTGCCTCAAAGCTGGATCTTCCACTTGCTCTGTTGTTGCAGCTACATGTTCTTCCGTCTGTACAGTCTCCAAACCCTGATCAGGAACAGATTCAGCGTTTGATGTTTTTCCTCCTTCACTCGTCCCACACTTGTCAGAAGAAGCCGCCACTGGCTTAGTCTTATTCACAGCACACGAGGCATGAATATGATAGTTACAAGCATAACAGTTATAAGACCAAAACCTACCATCCATAGCCATATTACAAAGATTGCAGACAAGCTGATTGCCGAAACCAAACTGAGTAAAGGACATAACAGGAGTACTGTTGTATACCAGAAGTAGAGTGTGGAGAGGATGAGACTCATGAACCATGACCTGAGGCAGATGTGCGCACTGAACATGGAGGTCAAAGTCGCACAAAGGACAACAGTAAGAGAAACCTTTACCTTCAGTGCAGCCACAGGCTCTGCAGAGGAAAGTACCGGCGCTGTAAGTTGTGTAAGGGACTAGAGTCAAGTGGTGAAGCCCCGCGTGGGAAGGATGTTGCATCCCACGCACTGCGTTACCACATTGCTCATGAAGATTGAAGTCACATGTTGAACAGACGTATGCGGTTTCGGAATCAGAGATGATTAATTCGCAGCCTGAGCAGACAAGTGAAGAATCAGAGCTTTTATGTATCTGAATCTGCTGGAGTTTAAGAGTATGTGGATGGCTGAAATGTTTGTACTCCATTGGAGTTTGTCTCTTTGATTTAGCAATCCTGTGTGTGTTTGGAGTTTGGATTACACAATATGCATATACGGTTTCTCTGACTTTGAATTGTTCCCAAGTCTGAGTTGTTTTGATTGGTTTTAAAATATTGTTTTCTAGTTATTTATTTGGATAATGAAAACTACATAAAGTTGAAGGAAGCAGCGTTGAACTTCAGAATGTCAACTCTCTTGAGGGTTGACCAATGAAGTCGTCTTATCTCTCTCTTTAACTCTCCTTTGCTTCAAGCAGTCTCACATCGTAAGAAGAATAGAATCTTTTTGTAATTACAATAGATTAGTTTATACCATTACCTACCGCGTCTAAACCGATGTATCATTGCCTAACCACAACGGCTTACCGATCAAACGACAAGTACAGAATGAACCAAACCAAATACCAATTAAGGTTTGTTGTAATTGATATTTGGTTTAGAGTCAATTAGCACGTAGGTGAACCAACGGTTAGCTTGTGGTTATGTCCTATTGCCTTTTTCGACATATTAATAAGAGTAAACCCCCGCACAAACAATGTTAGTACGTCTCTCTTCCGACTGCAACAAATTCAAAAGCCCTAATATCGATTTCCGGAGTCTTTGCTCTTTTTGTTTGTAACTTTTGGTGTTAAAGTTTAGGTATTTGAGCTGAAGGGTTAGAAGAGATGAAGAGAAGAAGGACTGTTCTGAAACAATTGGAGTCAGACCAGGAGGGACGTCAGAGCATTGCCCAGGTCGTCTCTCTCACACGAGGTACTTTTCTTGCCTTTTTTCCATACTTGTCTCAAACCTGTACAAACTGAAGAAAAAAAAATATCAAAGCGCTCTTATTTGCTGACAATGTCGCTGTTTTATTTTCTTTTTTTGGTGTATAAGAGAGAAGCAAAAGGAGAAAACATATGTGCGAGATTCATTCGGATCTCTTGATTGAAATTCTTATAAGATTGCCAGCAAAGTCCATGGTGAGGTTCAAGTGCATCTCAAAGCAGTGGTCATCCCTTATCTCTTGTCGATATTTTTGCACCCGTTTATTTACTAGGGTCACACGACATCAACAACCACATGTATACATGTGTTTAGTTGATGAAGTCGGCGCCCAACGTGTGTTGTTATCAATATCATCAACGTCTTCTCCAGACAACACTTGTTATGTGGTCGACCAAGATTTGAGCATCACAGGGATGGGAGGCTTCTTCTTGAATGTTGTCCGTGGCTTGATGTGTTTCTCGGTTAGAAAAAAGGCATGCATCTATAACCCCTCCACCAGACAGCGCTTGACCTTACCCGCCATAAAATCCGACATCATTGCTCAGCAAGGTGAAAGGAAGGATACTCGGTATTATATTGGACACGATCCTTTTAATGATCAATACAAACTATTATGCACAATTGCTATATCCTCTGAATTTTTCGAAAATCTTAAGTCAGAGCATTGGGTCTTTGTACTAGAAGCTGGAGGTTCTTGGAAAAAGGTTGTTCCGCTCAAGAATTACCATCCCCACGCTCCTTCTACAGTAGGACATTTTATCAATGGATCGGTAGTACATTATATGGCTTGGCTTGATATGGAAACTTGTGCTGTTGTGAGTTTCGACGTTACGTCTGAAGAGTTGACCACCATCCTAGTACCTCAGGATGCCCGGGATGTGGCTCTGCCTGCAGATAGGGTGAAGGCGGGTCTTATCGAGTATGGTGATAAAATAGCTGTTTTCGATCATACCCACCTCAAAGAAAAGTTTTTGGTGGACTTATGGGTATTGAGAGACGCGGGGAAGAAGATATGGTCGAAGAAGAGGCGGTTTTTACAGCCTTGTCAAAAGCATTTAGTCCATGACATTGAACTGATAGTAAAAGGCACAACTCAAAATGGTAAGGTTATCTTGGCACCGGTGAAGATGCATTCTCATTTATATATTTTGTGTTACAATATGGGAAGCAATGACCTTAGCAAGGTTGAAATCAAAGGAGTACCACACATTTGGTTTGATAAGGAGTACTATTTCGACTTGAAGTACTCTATGGATGAGAGTGAGGGCATCATCTACTTGGAAACTTGACCATTGACTTTATTTGTCTAGCTGTTTAAGAAATTTACAACTGAGTTAATTTTTTTCGTTTTTGTCAGATAGTTAATTTGATTTTCTAGATATGTTAAATGAATGTTTCTCAGAACAAAACTGAGTTAATGAATGATCAAATACACACAAAATTGTAGACATTATTAGACAACACACATTATAGTCTTCCAAGTTGCAATCCAAGCAAAATAACATTAATGCTTCACCGAACCGAACTTACGAAATTCAAAGTTGCACCACACCACAAGTAGTGAAACATATTAGTTAACCATTGAACATAACATTAATGTTTCACCAAACTAGACTTATGGAATTCAAAGTTGCACCACAAGTAGTGAAAATGTTAGTGAACGCCTTGCCACAGGGCGGGAACAGTTACTAAAAAAACTTTACGTAAATCATATTGGAAATTTCAGCTAAGCATATAGTCTGAAAATCGATTGAAAAAACACCAACTTTTTAAGTAGAGAAATCACAAGATATCAAGTCTAATAAAATTCGATTATATAAATATACGACATGTCCTACCTAATTAAACTAGCTTATCCCCACCAAACATAACATTAACAAACAAGCCATCATCATACACCAAATTTATGTCACGTATACCAAACTTTCTATATTATTGTAGTATATTTTATATATATTAAATTACGAGTCACGAGACATATAAAATAATAAGCTCCAAACCACTCCTTTATATATATACAAAGAGTTTGTACATATTAATACATCACTGATCATAACTATTCTTAAATTCGGCTTAAACTTATATTCTTTCGTTTCTATGTCCCTCGACAGTTAGTTAACTAGATTTGTGCATCAACTTCTCAATAGTCATTCTTGATTTGCTTCTTTTACATTATCGTTCCAGCCTGGTTTCCTTCTTTTATATTTTACATATTATTGTCATAAATATGAAAAAATTCGAAAAGTGCATAGAACGAGAGATGAAAATCTCCAATCTCGACCAAGATCAAATTGTCGCACATGACACCAAGTACGCAATGATAATATTCTACACTATACATTGAAGCCACCTGTCTGAAAAGGACTCCTAGATTTGGAAACCAGATAATTTTGATAGGGATTATAGAAGTGAAAACCATGAAAACAAATTACGTGAATATTAAAACAACACGTCGCACTAATTTTATATTTGCAGATCATGTGATTCATATGCGCACACCAGAATATAAAAAGAATGCCAATTTGTATTGATCGGCAAGCAAGAGGTAAATTTTTGGAAAAACATGAACGCCTTTATTAACATAAATCGTATTGTGAGTATCTATGTAAGACTACTACTAATATAAAAGAAAAAATAGAAGAAACGATACAATTAAACTGGTCGTAGTAGAAATAGCGTATCGAACCAAAGTGGTGCAACTAACGAGTGTTCCAAATAGCGTAAAGTAATTATGGTTGAAAACTGAAATAAATTTATACCCAATAGTTGGTTTTCATTTATTTTGCACCACTTGCAGTGAAAACAGTTCACATGATTTTGCTAAAAAAGTCGAGACATCATCAATAAATTACCACTATTATTTCACAGTAAGTCAGTAGCTAACTTACTGAAAAAAACAAAATTATCTTATTTTATCAATCTATTCCATTTATTCATCTAAAATTCAGTCCCTTAGCAAAAAAAAAAGATAAAAAGAAACAAGGATTAGGAATTAGGAAACATCCACCAATATATAAGATGCAAAGAGCAAACGCCAGTTAAGTCCTCGATCAATCTACACGCACATGTTCTCTCACACCCAATTACATAAGAGCTATGTCCATTTTCATCATGTACATAAACAACATATACAGATCCCATATACATGCAAATGCTGATCAACAGACTTACTTATCATAAGCAGCAAACTGATCAGCAGGTGCGCTTATCTCACTCTCGACATCTGCAGCATTACCACCACTAGTGCTGGTCTGTCCGAGCAAACTACTTATTGAACGTGCCTTTACCATCCCAAGCTTCACTCTCTTCTTCTTCACTTCCACTGCCGCCGCTTTTTTCTCTCCGCCACGACCACCACCGCTCTTGTTCGTGCTCCTTACCCTTCCTTTACCGAGATGATGCTCACAAAGAGAATACCCAACAAGCGTTTGCTGACAACATCTCCATCCTCTACCATTAACGCGGCTGCACCGTGATCCTTCCTCTAAACCACCACCACCATTCTTTTTCGTTTTCTTCTTCCCTTTACTACCGCCACTAGCTTCTTCTTCATCTTCATCTTCGTAATCCTCAAAGTTTATAAAGCCTCTTCTCTTCCTCAAAGTAACAACCTTGTCATTCTTCTCGATAACTAGCATATATACACAATAGTTAGATGGTGCAACCAGAGAGAACAAATTTCACCAAAAAACATTAAGCTGTATATGTGTACCTTGAGTTGAAGGGTCGGGTTCTCCTCGGGAACGAACGTTCTTGCTGTAAATATTGTTTGACACAAAGAAGTAAGAAGAATTTTATAATCAGATATTGTAAAAAAGAGATGAAAGCGATCTATGGGTGCAAGATGATAAATAATAATAGAGCACACAAGGTAAGGGCCGATATGGGGACCATAGAGTTTGAGTATAAGAGTATCCCATGCTAACTTGCACCGTCATGAGGGGTGCATGTTTAGATGAGTATTATTGTGTTACTCCTCCCTAACTACTCCATGTATTCCCAAATGTTAATAGTGTGAGAATAATGACGATAATAAAACAAGAAGAAACAAAAGAAAAGGATTGCAACTTTCAGAGTAGATTCAACTTGATCATCCATCAGCAAAAAAAAAGAAACTATAATTCACATATAACAAAAGCTTTGTATAGTTGTAAGAAGCATGAAAGTTTTGATTTTGATCTCCAGTTTTATCAGTTGGGTTTGTTCCAAGCTTGGATCTTTTGTATGTAAGCAAAGAAAAGATTTGTATTTTCGATTGTATACAATTACACCACGAAAAGTTATATTATCAGAGAAGAGAAGGAATTGAAAGAAGAAATCTTAATATCTGAATTCATCACATACCTGCTCGACGCATCAGTACGACTCTTCACGTCTACATCATCATCCTTTGAGATAAACAAAAGAAAAACGAAGATAAGCAATTGAGCATTCCTGCTTATTATTATAAGATCTGCAAATGAAGAAGCAATTCTTCTACTACATGGCTGGTGCACAAAACTTGAAACCAATTATATATTTTCACACACATACACACACAAGAAAAGAAAAGATAAAAAAAAGAGTCCAAGTACGGTCGTCATATATCACAAACTTGCACCCAAAAAAAAATCCAACCTTTAAAAAAAAAAGAAAAGAAATTGGAAGTTTCTCAATTGGTCTGTCTATACGTATAACTAAGAAACTCACCAGAGCTTTCACTTGCTCCTTCTTCATCAACAAATCTCTTTGAATTAGCCGATCAGAAACAGGCGACGGAGGCTGAAGCTGAAAAGAAGCAAAAGCTCCGTCTCCGTCTCTGTAACCACCGCAAAAGTACCTGGCGGTGGCCGTCGGTGAGCGGTTAAAGTAGAGATCTGAGAGAGGAACTGGTAAGAGAGACGAAAGAGGAAGAGGCACTTGTCGTTTCCGGATCCTCATCGAAAGAGATATAGCCAAAAAGATTCTTCCTTTTTCTTCTCTGCTCTCTCTATATCTCTGCTCTCTCTCTCGAAGCTTTTTGATTTATGGGATCTTTGCACCAAAGAAGGGACTGTAGTATCAACCCAAATAGAGATATATATATAAAAGAAGGAACAAAGAGTGATCTTCTTTTTTTTTTTTTTTTATTACACGGACTTGGGGAAAAAAAAAAAAAATGGCTTATTGGCTTTGTGGTGGTGTTGTGTTCTTGTTTAGTGTTGTGCTCTTTTTTTCTCTCTCCACCTCCTCTCTATCTCCTCTCACTTTCTTTTCCTTCTTTATTTATTTCGTTGCACCCAAAAAGCAAACTTCGTAGTAAATTGAATTTGAAAGAGGACGAGCACGAGCCCATGTAAGAATGGCTGAGACAGAGATTAGTAGTATGTAGTTTTTTCCCCAAAAAAATATATTGTTATTTCATATAAGGTAACTAATATTTGTAATTTTTATTTTACTTTAGGTAATTAAAACGATAAAAAGATATATCTGAATGGTGATACAAAATACAAAATTATGGTGATACAAAACGGTAAACAAATTATTATCGAAAATATGAAAATAAAGATAAGATGTAGTATTTGTTTTCATTTATATATATATCGTCTAATTTTGGTTTTAAAAATAAATATAATTTGGCAATGGCTTACTCCAGTTTTTGAACCATGTTACATCTGTATGTATAATGTCAGATAATTAATCAAATAATAAACTCATGTACACTAGTTATATACTATAAAACAACATGTTTGTTGTTGTATGTATACATGCAACACAGACACAGTTGAACCGGATTTAGTTGTAAAAAAAAATGGTAGAGAGCAGCAAACAAAGATGCATATGTAAAAATAATTTCTTGAAGCTGTAATTAGTGGTGAACGTACTGAGGTGTGATTTGCGTTGAGTGAAATTATATAGGAGGCACGTGGAGAGTGGATGGCGCACGTGCGGGGAAACCGGGAGAGGAGGTAACCGGTCTGGGGTGTTCTCTCTCTCTCAACGCTGCCAGCTTGGACGAAAGAGAGAGAGATGGAGTGGGTGAGAGAGAGAGAGAGAGAGAGAGAGAGGGAGAAGAAGTTTTATCCTCAAAGGGGCTCTCTTTGTTTCGTTTCGTTGGTGGGTCTTTTTTTTTTCTGTGTTTACAACCCTCATAACTTGTTCATAACGACCCCATATGTTTCATTTCTTCATTTCTGCCCCCTCCTCCTATGTTTTTTTTGTTTCAATTTTAATGATACATTACTACCTCATCATATAATTTTTAATTATTATTATTATCATAGTCGTATATGATGTGTCTTTTTGTCATGTGTTAACATTTGTTTATCGTTTCATTTTTTTTTGTAGTATTACAAAAGTTAGCAATAATAACAATTTTTTTTTTTTTATATATAAAAACAAAAAGACAGGAACGACAATGTTGCACTTAAACTCTCCCAATTGGAATAAGTGGTGGGAATGGGCTGGCATGTCACATTCAGCCAAAATCACGGCTATTAGTTTTTTCTTCTTCTTCTTCTTTTTGTTATCGTCTAAAGTTGGAGGTTAGTAAGAAGAACCCAGCTCTCTACGTGTGTTAACCTACATGTGCACCTTTGTTCACTCACTTGCTTACTTTTTTTTTTTTTTTTTTCCTAAAAAAGTAAATATTTCATTAATAATGAAAAAAGTTAGGGATTACAATAAAATAAATCCTATAAATTGGTTTTGGTATCAGTCCATATAAACGGCAAAAAAGAATAAAAACAATCAGTCCATCAACTAAAGCAGTATGCTTTTGGTATCAATGAAGTGATAAACTTAATCAGTCCATAAACATCGACAAAAACAATTACGTTTTTGGAGTCAATGAAGTGATAAACAGATTTGAAAAATCCCTAGGTGAGACCTCAAGGAGAAGAAACACTAGTTGTCAAACGGCAATGACCGTTTCAGAGAAACCATAGCAATAGGAAGCCTTTCACCGGCAGTCCGAGAATACTGAGCCGTCAACGGCTTAGATCAAAAAGCTCTCAATCACTGATTCCCTCTTCATCAAGCGAGAGATGCTTTTTGAACAATCCATGAGCTTTCTCAGAGCGGAACCACACGAACCAAAGGAAACGAAAGCGCTAGCTCACTCTACCAAGCTCTTTCCCCGAGGTCGGCTAGCACAGAGCAAATCTAACAATACGACCAAACGCTAAACAATCCTAAGGCCTTACTAGCTCCTCCTTGCTTACTTTTTTCGATCCATAATTCTTACTAATGGTCGTGTTTTTCGTGTCTTTGATACTTAGATGTGAAGTTTGTCAATCATGAATGTTTACTGATCTTCTTTTCTTTGTAGAACTTGTCCTTTGTGAAAACTACTCGTTCGATCGAACTGTTCATTGTATTCGTATTTATATATATGAAACAGAACCATAAGTAATGCACATTAAGATATCGCTATGTGATACAAACCCGAACCATAAGTCATTTGACCTCATTGCACTCTACCACTCATAAACCAAGTCCATATATATATATCGCTAATCAAACTTCACATTCATGAAAAGTCATTATACATCTATTTATTTATTAGTGCATATTTGCTTTTTGTAATGGTTTATTTTTTTTAATTACATTACATGAATTATCAGACCTCTTTTTTTATCATTAAGAAATTACACAAATTTAGGTTTTATCTTTAATTAACAATATTCCATGTGTTTCCTTGTGCTTATCTCATATCTTTAATTTCCAATTATGAAAATTGTGTTAACTATATAGAGATGTGTTATTCAACTTAATTCAAAATATTAATTATATTTTTACCAAATATAAATAGATTTGATTCCTTTATAAAAAAATTTAGGTAAGAAAAATAAATAAATAGTAAAAAGAATTGTATAGTCAACTAATCCTGGCCGTCCGGTTACAAGGAAAGGTTATCTTTGCCGTGAAATATATTAGTATACACCGGAACACAGGTGATTACGCCCTCTCTCTCCTTCCCAATTCTGATTGAAAAGATTTGATCGTGTACCATTTGAAGCTCATCTCCATTTCACGAACCGGAGCTCCAAAAGCTCACAACAATAGTAACCCTCTCCGGAGCTGTTCGTCACCCAATTCTCTTCCTTTTTCGTGTTCGTTGATTGAGACTTCTCTTCCCTCAATTTTCGATTAAAGGCAAGAGCTTTGAGGTGGGGGGGGGGATTTTATTTCTCCAATCTTAATTTAAAATTTGGGGGTTTTCATGCGGGGATTTTGGGATTTATAGGGTTTCAGATTGGGGGATTAATTGGAGAATTCAGTGTTGAGCTCTGTAATGGAATAATGGAGAATTCACAAACGTTGGTTCTGGAAATTTTCTTTTAGGTAATCTCTCGTTTTCTTCTGCTGAGTTTAAATTTCGTTCCTTTTATTTTATCCGGAGACAATAGATATATAGCTAAGCATAGTTTTTGAAATTGTTCAGTTTAATGGTTTAGCATCAGCTATGGATTTATTTTGTTTTAACAAGTTTTAGTGTGAATTGTATTCATATGCTTATGGTTTTGTGTGTTAAACTTGTTTGGTTCTTCATGAAATGCTTATTTCTTGGAATCTTTTATATAAGAGAAGGTTTGATTATGGTTTCTTTTTAAGCAGGATAACAAAGATTCAGAGGTGTCCGTTTTTTGTTTCTTGATGGCTGAGGAAATATCTAGCACAGTGAACCTGGATTTGAATCTTGGTCCTGACCCTGAGTTAGGTCTCCAGCCAGCAACGGATTCTGCTAGATCTGATTGGGGCAATGGCCCTGCTGGTGAATTCGAATTTCTGAGAAGGTTTAGAAGTCGGTACCGTTCACGTTTCAGAACGATTGATATGCTTCCGGTTCTTTCTGAAACACATAGCCCTGCGATAGAATTGAGTCAACTGTTGGTTACCTCTGCAAATGGAGCTGCCTTACCAGCTGGTGAGGGACGCATAGCTGGTGGAGAGGGAGTTAGTGAGGACTCGAAAAAGTGTGAGAATGGGACCAAAGTGATGGAAGCAGATAATGTAACAGAGGAGAAAAAGGATGTTGAGAAGAGCGTTGGCAACGAGGGGAGCTTTTTCGATTGTTATATATGTTTGGATTTGTCCAAGGATCCAGTTGTCACCAATTGTGGCCACCTTTACTGTTGGCCTTGCCTTTACCAATGGCTACAGGTTTCAGAGGCTAAGGAATGCCCGGTTTGCAAAGGGGAGATATCTGCGAAAACCATGACTCCAATCTTTGGACGTGGGAAACATAAAAGAGAATCTGAAGAGGTTTCAGATACCAAGATCCCTTCGAGACCCCAAGCGCGGCGTGTGGAGAGTTTGAGGAATACACTTCACAGGTCACGTGATTCACCAGCGGAGTTGCTGAGGCATTTACAGGATAGGTTCGGTAGGGAAGCTAGTACAGGAGATAGACGCACCAGACCATTTCTTAACCGGTTTATGAGTTCGAGGGGAGTTAGAGCAGAGCAGAACCAGTCTAGTGTGGTTGCACCATCAGATGATATCAACGAAATTGATCTGATCTCAAACATTTCCCCTGAACCTGAAGGGGAAAACGAAAACCTGAGGTCCTCCCGTGGTTTGTCAAACCGGAGACAGTGGGCACAGAGAGCAGGGAGGATGTCTTCTATTACTTTGAGCTCTGCTGAAAGATTAGTGGATGCTTATTTGTTAACACATGCATTGGGGAGGAACCAAGAGCAAAACATCAATACTCCTGTTGGAACTGAGGACAGGGACTCGTTCTCAAGCATAGCAGGTGTAATGAACTCGGAGAGTCAAGTTGATACTGCGGCTGAGATTGATTCAATGGTGACTGTTTCGACATCTTCATCAGTGAGAAGACATGAAAACGGTACGAGAGTGTCTGATGTTGACAGTGCAGATTCTCGTCCATTAAGGAGGAGAAGGAGATTGGCTTAGAAGGTGAAGGAGAAGAAAGAGGAAGCTAGGATGCTCTTAAGTTGAAAAGCTGCAATTTTATTGTTTTTTCTTTGAGATTTTGGATTTTGATGATTATTTTTTTTATGCTTAGGGGATAATAATGAACCACAGATTAATAATAGATAATATCTATTAGATATCATTTGCTTACATTCCGTTCGATTTATGTGTCACAATTCTATTGCTGGGGTGAATAATGAGAGTTTTAAGTAAATGTAGGTATATGCTTAATATTGTTGCAAAAACGAACAAAAAAGTCGCTTTGGCCGAGTGGTTAAGGCGTTTGCCTGCTAAGTAAATGGGGTTTCCCCGCGAGAGTTCGAATCTCTCAGGCGACGAATCTTTTATGTTAACATATTTATTGACGCGGGGGTGTGTATAAACCAAGCCTGTCCCGCGCGGGTTCATTAAAGGAGCTCGAGATTGAAAGAATACTAATTTATTAAATTTTATTTATAAATAGAGAAAAATCTGACTCTTTTTTTTGTTCCACAAGACAAAATTTGTTTTTTTTTTCTTGGGGTCTAGTCTAATTTATTTTTGTTAAAACACACAATCTGAAAACTAAAACTCAAATGAAGAAGAATATTCTTTCTTGGATGGATTGATTTTAGGAGAAAAAAAGTAACGAAGTTTGTGATTTGGGAATCTAAAATTCAGAAGCAAACGTGTCTGTACATTCCAATTCTGGTAAATCAATCAATCATCCGCGTTTCCTTTTCTTTATCGATTCTTCTTCATCGTCGTCTGAATCCGCGTTTCTTTGTTTCAACCTCCCAAAGTTTCTTCCCGTGTAAATCTCTCTCTCTCTCTTTGATTTTTTCTTCAAATTTGTTTTTATTGTTTGTTTGTTTCCCTTTCTCTGGGTCTGAAATCAGGTTTGTTCTAATTCGAAATATTACTACGAGCTGAGGAATCATATTATATGGTTTTGTGTTCTATTTTTTGTTTTTGTTTTTGTTTTTACGTTCGAGGGGATAGATTGATCTAAATCTTCCCTCTTCTGCTTAATTGGATTCATAAACTGATGTCACATTACTTGGTCACTGGTGATGAGAATTTTTGTAAATCATTTTGTGGGCACTAAGCTTTTCTTTTTAAAGTCTCGATATCTCAGACGGTAGAGATGCATTTCGTTTATCAAGTTTTCTACTTCTGTTTGGATCTAAGTCTAAGTTATTTGATTTTTAGAGTTTGAATTTATTTTTATCTCCATGTTTGTCAACAATATCCAGTCCGATGTTTGTCCTTCTTCTTGTGTTTTCATGTTGGATCTCTTTCTCTTTTGTCTAGTTAGACTGAAAAGTTTGCCCTGCTAAGAAAACATATTTTTTCACTGTGACACTGATGAGGGAATTTCGAATCTTGCTAGTTTATGATTTGTGACTACACTTCTTGCTGATTTGTCTGATTGATGACCTTACTTATATTTCTGCAGAGTAGAGGATTCAACTTGTGATCACTTTGCTTATGTGCGTAACTGTTAATGGAGAATCACGGTCCACGCTACCCATACCCTTATGGCCAGTATCCATACCCTTACCCATACCCAGCTCCTTATAGACCTCCCAGCTCAGAGCCATATCCACCACCCCCTACCAATCAATACAATGCCCCTTATTATCCTTACCCACCACCTCCATATGCTACACCACCACCACCATATGCCTCACCCCCGCCTCATCACCACACTTCAGGTTCCCATTCTGGTCCATTAGACTATAGCCACAACCCACAACCATCATCTCATGCCGGTCCTCCAGAGTATCACCGCCATTCTTTCGACTACCAACATCAACCTTCTCCTTACCCTTATCCTGGCCCTCCAACACCTCAACCCCAAGGTAACTTTGGCGCTTATGGCCCCCCTCCTCACTATTCTTATCAAGATCCAGCCCAATACCCCCCACCTGAAACTAAACCCCAAGAGCCTCCTCCTCAGCAAACTCAAGGCTATCCAGAATATCGTAGGCAAGACTGTCTCAGTTCTGTTGGAACACCTCATGATAACGTAAGCAATTCCGGATCTTCTTATCCTCCTGTTGATGAACTTCTCAGTGGTCTGCATATTTCGAATAACCAACCAGCTCCCTCAGTTCCACAATTATCCTCCCTCCCTTCCAACTCTTGGCAAAGTCGCCCTGGGGATTTGTATGGTTACCCTAACTGCTCATTTCCAAGTAACTCTCATTTGCCACACTTAGGGCGAGTAGATTCTTCAAATTCTTATACTCCTAGCTATGGATCTACTGAATCTCCGCATAGTGGGGATATGCAGATGACTCTATTTGGTAAAGGATCGCTGAAGGTCCTATTGTTGCACGGGAATTTGGATATTTGGATCTATCATGCAAAGAACCTCCCAAATATGGATATGTTCCATAAGACACTGGGTGATATGTTTGGAAGATTACCAGGAAAAATTGAAGGGCAACTTAGCAGTAAGATCACCAGTGATCCTTATGTTTCTGTATCAGTAGCAGGTGCTGTGATTGGAAGAACATATGTCATGAGCAACAGCGAAAATCCTGTTTGGATGCAACATTTCTATGTTCCTGTTGCTCATCATGCTGCAGAAGTTCATTTTGTTGTTAAAGACAGTGATGTCGTCGGTTCACAGCTTATAGGACTGGTTACAATCCCAGTGGAACAGATATACTCTGGTGCAAAAATTGAAGGAACTTATCCAATTCTAAACAGTAATGGGAAGCCTTGTAAACCAGGGGCAAATTTGTCATTATCAATCCAGTATACTCCTATGGACAAACTCAGTGTTTATCATCATGGAGTTGGGGCAGGTCCTGATTACCAGGGGGTACCTGGAACATACTTTCCGCTTAGAAAAGGGGGAACTGTGAGATTGTATCAAGATGCACATGTCCCAGAAGGGATGCTCCCGGGTATAAGATTGGACAATGGAATGTCTTACGAACATGGGAAGTGTTGGCATGATATGTTTGATGCCATACGGCAGGCGAGGCGATTAATTTATATCACAGGTTGGTCAGTGTGGCACAAAGTTAAGCTGGTTCGTGATAAAGTAGGTCCAGCATCAGAATGTACACTTGGGGAGCTCCTAAGATCAAAGTCCCAAGAAGGCGTGAGAGTCCTGCTTTTGATTTGGGATGACCCAACTTCACGAAGCATCTTAGGGTATAAAACAGTAAGTTACATACACCCTCTGGTTTCTACTGCACTTTCTTTTTGTTTGTGTTCTTTATTTTCTGATTAATATATTGTATTCTGTTTCATATTTAGTGAGTGGAAGTCGGAATATATTTAGAGTTTCAGTAATCGATTGCTTTGGTTTCATGACATTTCTTCATATTTATAGTAACAATTTTTCTTATAAATTATTAGGCCATATGAGTTAAATTCATCATTCTATAGATTGAGAAAGCCTTAATCATGTAGTAACTACTAGTTCATTATGAGGGCTTGTCAAACATCTGGTGTCTTATCTTAAGTGAAATTTTTGACTCAACTTGTTTACCTGTACAGGATGGCGTTATGGCAACCCATGATGAGGAGACACGGCGTTTTTTCAAACACTCCTCAGTTCAAGTCCTGCTCTGTCCCCGAAATGCTGGAAAGAGACATAGTTGGGTCAAGCAGAGGGTAGAGTAGCACTTCCTTTTTCCTCTTTTTCTTTAACTAGGTATCCGATTTCTGATTAAATTTTCGTCAATCAGGAAGTTGGGACAATCTATACACATCACCAAAAGAACGTAATAGTTGATGCTGATGCTGGTGGCAACAGACGGAAAATTGTAGCTTTTGTTGGTGGTCTTGATCTGTGTGACGGCCGATATGACACTCCCCAACATCCGTTGTTCAGGACACTACAGACAATTCATAAAGATGATTTTCACAACCCCACTTTTACGGTACAGATTCTTAATATTGTGTAGCTTTCTTGGTAATAACTTAGTAAGCGATTACCTTGAACTGTACAATTTCTTAATCTAGTGGGAGCCAAATTTGATATTTTAATGGAAATATAATATTTAATTTGTTTAAATGTATTGTTTGACATTAATTATGTCGTCTTTGTTCTGGCTTCTTTTTTTTTTGTTCAACTAGATTATGCAAACAATCATTTCAGTACACGGGCTTTGTGTCATATAAAACTGGATAGCTGATTTTTCGATTTTTTTTTGTTGAGATCTTTGTTCATCATTTGTAAACATCAAAATTATTAAGCTCTGACATTGATAACGATCTGGTAGTGGGATAACACCTTAATTTGTGTACTCAAAAATGTTATCATTTTATCAGGGAAACCTTTCTGGATGTCCAAGAGAGCCTTGGCATGACTTACACAGTAAGATCGATGGCCCCGCTGCGTATGATGTACTGACCAACTTCGAGGAGAGATGGTTGAAGGCTGCGAAGCCTACCGGGATCAAGAAGTTTAAGACTTCCTATGACGATGCGCTGTTAAGGATTGATAGAATTCCAGATATATTAGGAGTTTCTGATACTCCTACTGTTAGTGAAAACGATCCTGAGGCATGGCATGTTCAGGTAAGAACATCAAAACTGTTACTGTTTGGAAGAAGACCTGAGTGGTCGAGTATTTTATGAAGCCATGATTTAGATATTACGTCTCTCTTAGTATTGCATGCTACTTAGAGATGAAGAGAAATAGTTAATGAACATTTGCTAATCAGTTTATAGACCCATGTAGCAACATATCGCCTGACACCAATTTCCTAGTACCCGATTCTTCTCTTAATCTCTAGCCATTTATCTGAAAGGGTCCCTTCTGGATTACCTTTATAAAGAGGTTTCGGTGAGACTATATGTAGAGTTGGTGAAAGATGTCATATTATACTAGATCATGCAGATTTTGAAATTTGGTCTAAAATATTTTTCTGGACAATTATTTCTCTATTCTGGGAATATAATTTGGGTTCATATTAAGCAAGCTAAGCTGATGTCTTTCTGGTTTGATACAGATTTTCCGTTCAATCGACTCAAACTCTGTGAAAGGTTTCCCAAAGGATCCAAAAGATGCTACGTGCAAGGTGACTTGAAAAAGCAAATGAATTTTTAGGTATTATTATGTTTGGATGTCTAAAAACATGTCAGAAAACTAATCCATGAAAAGGTTTTTGTTTTGAATAGAACTTGGTGTGTGGGAAGAACGTGCTGATTGATATGAGCATACACACAGCGTATGTCAAAGCCATTCGTGCAGCCCAACACTTTATCTATATTGAGAATCAGTATTTCATTGGGTCTTCCTACAACTGGAATGCGCATAAGGACATAGGTTGGTTATATGTCTCTGCTTGTTTATTTCAAGAACACAAGAGACTTAAGTTTGTTCACACACTTATTAATATTGTTCCTAAGATAAAGGCATCAAGCAATTTGTCTACAAAACTAAAAGTGTGTCATTTGTTATGATATCTATGAAATTATTCTTCAACCATGACCTTATACGTCGTGTCTCTATGCTAGTTTTAGGTTTTTTTTTATTTGTGTCACTCTTTGATTTCCGATTTTTTTTTTTTTTTAATTTGGCATTCGATTTGAGTTGCATTGGCTCTTATCATTGCTATACAATGGTGGTGTGTAGGTGCGAATAATTTGATTCCTATGGAAATTGCATTGAAGATAGCTGAAAAGATCAGGGCAAATGAACGTTTTGCTGCATATATTGTCATTCCAATGTGGCCAGAAGGTGTTCCAACTGGTGCTGCTACCCAGAGGATTCTATATTGGCAGGTATTTCTGAGTAAAAACTTATGGCGTGGTTGTCTATGCCAAATTCTTCCTGACATTTCTCAATAAAAATTAGAAATCACAAAACTAACTAGAAATTAGTAGAGATAATCTTGGATGGTATATGTTGTTCTCAACACATGAAAAATTCATATATCATCAATATGATTAAATGATTTAGAAGTGAGATTTATGCATGTAATGTTTATGTTTCTTACATAATTTCGGTCTGGGTATTTGGAGATTATGAAACTGAATGTCAGTGTTGTCATCGTTGCAGCACAAGACAATGCAGATGATGTATGAGACTGTCTACAAGGCATTAGTGGAGACAGGGCTTGAAGGAGCATTCTCCCCACAAGATTACCTCAATTTCTTCTGTCTTGGGAACAGAGAAATGGTGGATGGAATTGATAACTCAGGAACAGGGAGTCCAAGCAACGCAAACACTCCTCAGGTAACTAAACGCCGATGCCTGCTGCTTAACTTTCTCATGTTGTTGAAACGAGGAGTCCCGATGGTGTTGCAGGCATTGAGTCGGAAAAGCAGAAGATTTATGATCTATGTTCACTCGAAAGGGATGGTAGTTGATGATGAATACGTAGTAATTGGGTCTGCAAATATAAACCAACGATCAATGGAAGGCACAAGAGATACAGAGATTGCAATGGGAGGTTACCAGCCTCAACATACATGGGCAAGGAAACATTCCGGTCCACGGGGTCAGGTAAATCCCGATAACTGAAAAAAGACAAACCAATTATGAGTTCATATTCTGGTTCGACAATTTGGATCATTGACTTTTCCTCTTGTTTCCTTTGCAGATCTATGGATACAGAATGTCGCTTTGGGCAGAGCATATGGCAACATTAGACGACTGTTTCACTCAACCGGAGAGTATAGAATGTGTAAGAAAAGTGAGAACAATGGGAGAGAGGAACTGGAAACAGTTTGCAGCTGAAGAAGTTTCGGACATGAGAGGACATTTGTTAAAGTATCCAGTAGAAGTTGATCGGAAAGGTAAAGTCCGACCACTTCCAGGGAGTGAGACGTTCCCGGACGTCGGAGGTAACATTGTCGGATCGTTCATAGCCATACAAGAGAATCTAACCATTTGATAATAAGGAAGCAGTGTCACTTTTGACAATATTTGTTTGTGGATATTATTGGTCACCGTTGACAATAGACGGAGGGAGGTTTGATTAATTGGTCACCTTTGCACATTATTTATATCTTATAGGGTTATGTAATAAATTATGATACGTAATTTGTTGTGTACAAAGTGGTGCTTATAAAATGAATGAAGTATATACATTTTAGTCGTTTTAACGTCAATCAAAATTGAAGACTTGTTTTTTGGTTTTGACATCAGCTTACTAAGATTTTTGTAAAACACGAACCGAGCGACACACTGAAATTTTTTGAATCCCACATGTATTATTTTGTTGAATTTGACCCATTGAGAATCTTATTCGTTGATTTTTTTAGAAGAACAGGAACATATCAAATTGTGAGAAAAAAATAATAAAAAAAGAGTAACAAATCAAATTAGTGAATTACTTCGACAAAAATCGCTTTCATCGTACCAACAACAAAAGACACAGACGTCAATAGGTACTCTCAGCCACAATCTCATCTGAAATAGCAAAATTGATGGAAAAGTTTTGGCTTTTAATAGAATTGGAGGGGGAGCAAATGGCGCTGGTTCTTCCATCTTTCATCACTCTCTCTTATCTTAGATCTCCGACTGCACCGTGTTTGATCTCCAGAGTGCCCATCTCTAATCTAATCAGGAGGTATAGAGATGGGTTTTGGGAACCAAGCGAGGCCGAGAGAAGACACGCCTCTTCTCAGTAAAGGACCACCCTTGTCGAGCAAGTTCAAGACTTTCGCCAATGTCTTCATTGCTATCGTCGGCGCTGGTGTCCTTGGTCTTCCTTACGCCTTCAAACGCACCGGATGGCTCATGGGTTTGCTTACCCTCTTTTCCGTCGCCGCTTTGATCAACCATTGCATGATGCTTCTTGTTTATATCCGTCGCAAGCTTGGTGTCTCCAATATCGCTTCTTTTGGAGACCTTGGCTTCGCCGTCTGTGGCAACATCGGGAGGTTCGTCGTCGACATTCTTATCATTCTGTCTCAGGCTGGGTTTTGTGTCGGATACCTCATCTTCATCGGTACTACTTTAGCTAATCTCTTCAACTCAACCTCGCCAACGACTCTGACTATGAGTCTGAGGCATTTAATGGGTGTGTCCCCTAAGAGTCTCTACATATGGGGATGCTTTCCGTTTCAGTTGGGTTTGAATTCTATTAAGACGCTCACACACTTGGCACCTCTCAGCATATTCGCCGATGTGGTTGATTTGGGTGCTATGGCCGTGGTGATTGTGGAGGATGTGAAGATTACAATGGAACAAAGGCCTCAAGTTGTCGCCTTTGGTGGCATGTCTGTGTTCTTCTATGGGATGGGAGTGGCTGTTTATGCCTTCGAAGGGGTGGGAATGGTTTTGCCTCTTGAATCCGAGATGAAGGACAAGGACAAGTTTGGCAGAGTGTTGGCCCTCAGCATGCTATTCATCGCCGTCATGTACGGATCTTTTGGTGCGTTAGGCTACATGGCTTTTGGGGATGATACAATGGATATTATCACAGCTAACTTGGGGACAGGACTGGTGAGCAGTCTGGTGCAGCTTGGGCTCTGCATCAACCTTTTCTTCACTTTCCCCTTGATGATGAACCCTGTGTTTGAGATCGTGGAGAGACGTTTCTGGAGTGGAATGTATTGTGTGTGGCTCAGATGGCTACTAGTCTTGGCAGTGACGTTGGTGGCTCTCTTGGTGCCAAACTTTGCTGATTTTTTGTCATTGGTTGGCAGCAGTGTTTGCTGTGCATTGGGCTTTGTGTTGCCCACTTTGTTCCATCTATTGGTCTTCAAAGATGATATGGGGTGGAAGCAACGGGTGTTAGACCTGGGGATCCTACTATTGGGTCTCGTTCTAGCTGTCTCAGGTACTTGGAGCTCCCTGAGTGAGATCTTCCAGGAGTAGATAGGTGGACAACTTGTTTCTTTTGTTGGATTTTTTTCTACTTTCAATGAAAGCAAGTGTCAAAGTCTTGGAGTGTTGTTATGCTATTTTTGTTGGAATGCTATTATGTTAAAAGTAATAACCATTGATCATGTGTCAAATGTTTTGATTCTGTGATCCCTTAAACAAGCACGCTCTTATTGCGCTTGGTAATTATTTTCAACTGTTTCAATCTTCATTTAGCCATCAACACTCATTGCTAAACCAAACAAACATCAACTCCTTTTGGGATGTTGTTGAATACGCAGCACATTTGAATTCATGATGCTTCGTCAGGCCTGCGATTAGAGGAAAAGCTGCCACAAGGTACATAGTAGCCACCACATATCCTTTTGCACCTCTCAGCGTCATTTTATAGATATATAGAGATGAATGTGGGAGAGGAGCTTGAAAAAGAGAGAAAAATCAAATGGCAGACACAGGCAAAGGAAGCTCTGTCGCTGGCTGCAACGATCGTTGTGGCTGCCCTGCTCCGGATCCTGGTGGCAATTCCTGCAGGTTGGTCCTTTCTATGCTCCAGGATTTGATGTGTTGTGATCTTAAAAACATGGTTCCATTGCATGTAGGTGCAGGATGAGAGAAGCATCTGGTAGGGATCAAGCGCACATGTTGTGCCCGTGTGGGGAGCACTGCGGCTGCAACCCCTGCATCTGCGCCAAGACTCAGTCCCAAACCTCCACCAAGGTTTACACCTGTGGTGAGGGCTGCACCTGCGCCACTTAGACATCCCTAACTATGTCTATACCATGCTTGTGTGATAGGTCCTAGCTAGTCAATCTGAAATAAAACTGTTTATTAAGTCCACTACAACAATATATATATATATATTTATCGTATGCTCTGTTCTTGTCTTATACCACACCAAGAATCTGAATATCCTTTCTTACAACTTTTGAGGGTCTAGGACTAATACAATCTACTTATACTAGGACAAACCATATTGGCCTTTCAGATTAACTAGCTAGCTTGTGTTACTTATAGACTGGTAGAGGTTCTTAATTACTAGTCGGTAAAGGTCTGAGACTTTCTTGATGAATTGGCCTTTCTTATAGACAGACCTGATTTTGGATGCTGGAAGAGTAGCAGAGTCAATAAGCTTGAAGATGCTTTATTTTAAAGCCTGTAATTTCTGAAGTCTGTAAAAACTCAAAGTTTCTTACTTGTGAAACATAAAGCGCACGGCTATTTTGTATTATATTGAAAGTTATTGATGCCAGGACAGTTCACTTGTGATTGCTACTTCTCCAATCTCCAGTTGCTAATGGATTTATTGAAACTTGATGCTCACCCATTGCCTGTGATTTCCATGAAAACTATAGTCCTGGATATGTACGTAGAAGCTCCAATATAACAAAGGATGAGCATCAATCAAATGTCTGATTCATATTACTCAGAGACACACATAAGCAGTAGATGTAGAAACAAAGGACTCAGAAGCTGAGGACATATTGTCAGATAAAACGACTCTATGCAGGAGGTTCTTTTCTGTTCCAAGGTGAATCTTTGTACATAGTCTCTGTATAGATTAAATTTGGTTTAAGAGGAGTTTAGCCTTGTTTTGTTGGTCTAGTATTATCTCTGGCTCTTGAATGTCAAGAAAATGGAGTCACCACCAATATGTGATCACTTATTGTCTGTGACATGTAGCAATGTTAAAGTTGTACTTGATGGATGAATATATTTGATGGCCAAAGATACAAGAACAGTAGAATACACACACGCACACACACACGTGTGGTCAGTGGTGTTGAGTACAGGAGTGGAAAAGAGAGATAGGTTTTGAGAGATGGTTGGCATTGAGAGTAAAGGAGCAGATGATCCTGGTATAGAACTTGGATGTGACGAGTCTTCCCAAAATGTAAGCTCTTGAACGAAGGACGAGAGTGAGATTCAGTGGCAGGGAGAGTGTGTCGAGATGGAAAGAGACACCGCCGTAGAGAGGAATTTGATGGCCATGCACCACCGTAAGCAAGGTCGTTTCGCCGTGTCTACCAACCGTGAACTTGTTCATCTCACCGGATGAGAGGAGGAGGTTGGAGTAGTGAAGGAGGAGAGGAGAAGCAGTGACGTGCACGGAGAAGAAGGCCGATGGGTTTCGGAAAAAGATCCTCACCGTGGAATTAAGAGACAGCATGTCCGTAGGCACTCCGCTCAGATCGTTACCGGCTTGCACGTTCAAGTTCCTCACGAGCATTCCCTGCAGTGCAACAACAATACTCTTTGTCTTATTTTCAGTCTGACAAGTGACACCTAATCACATTCCAAACCAAATCAATGCACATTTGTCTACTTGTCTCTCTCAATAGATATATTTTTTTGTTTTTCAATAGAAAAAGTGTGAAACCAAATACTCCAATGGAAGTAAATATTATATTCATAGTTGGCTTTTATCCCAATGGAAGTTGTTTCTTTTAAGGGAAAAAACAGAACACAACACACTCGTCCACTAGACGAGTTAACTCAGCGCAGAAGAATCACCGAGTGAGAAAGGAGTTACCTTTACAACAACTTTAGGAGGGTAGGATTTGCTAGCACCCCACAGAATAAGAGAGAAGACAGAGAACAAGAGGACCAAGGAGAGGAGCAGCCAAGCGTAGAGGCGCACATTCCGAAACGGGTCGTCATCTCCGCAGTCCGTTATGTCGTCTCCGTCGTGGATGAATCGACGGCCTTCGCGGACGGACTTGTAAGAGAAGAGGGCACGGTCGGAGAAGCGAGAGGTGGATGACTCACGGGAGTGATGGATGGGTGAGCAGTGGTAGTAATGGGGATGCGAAGGTGAGCCCATGAGGCTGCAACCAGAGCCGAACGACATCTTCTCAGCGTCATGATTGGAGGGACTCTGTACGTAGTAAAGAGGTCTAATCGCCGAACGTGGCGGGGACAAAGCCGGGTCGATGCTTGTAGCCTCCGAGTCTGTCTTGGCATGCATGTTCTCTTTCTTTCTCTCTTTCCTTTAAAGACAAGAGTAATGGAAGAGGCTATCAGAGCAGAGCAGCAGCAATGGAACAGAGATGGTAGTAGTGCTGTGTTTGGATTTTGGGAGAGTGTGCAATAAGAAGAGATATATGGGGAATGAATATGATCACTCTTCATAAATCATCTTTTTAAGCAAGTTGGTCCCATACTTTTTTACTGGCTCTTCTCTTTACTCACGCGCTTACAGGCGTAGCCAAAACATAAAAATGTTGATTAGATAACGGACGGTGAGTCTCACGCTCGGGACTAAGCGCCTGGGACTATGGATACAGTCAACTGTACTGACAGAGTTACCCAGAATGTCTTTGAACATTTGAAAACTCTTTCTTCGATACAATAGAATAGATGAGAGTTTATAGATTTTCTTTTACGTTTCTCAGTTTGGTGGTGGGTAAGTACTAAAAAAGGCCGATGTTTCAGGCCCAGTCATATTATTAACTTCCTTATGTGGCCCATTGACAAAGATTCTACTTCAATAGAGGGTCTCTAGATCTGGATTCTTTTACACTTAAAATCACTTAAGTATTTACTTTGAACCGTGCCAATGCCAGAATTGCTTGATGCAGTCGTTTCAAAATCCAATGCTATCGAAATCTTTGAGCCCATTAACAAACACACTTGGTTAGAGATTTTATAATCGAACTAGAAACAATCAAACAAGACTACTGATCAGCTGCTCTTGTCATTGCTACAAGATTGCTTGCTGCTTGCGACTTGCGACTTGCGACTTGCGAGCCATCCATCATTAGCTGGGAATGCTGTTTTGTTTACGTCCCAGGAGCATGTACAAGTCAACGACACATTTGAAAAAATGGTGAGATGAGAACACCATTTTCGTTGTTTTGTAGGTGAGAGACCCACCCACATTTTGTTTTTTTGATGAATTGACCCCTAAAGAATAAAAATTTGGATAAAAGGACCAAAAAGGCAAATAGGTGAATTTTCCCCAATTCAATTTGAAAAGTGTTGTAATAAAGAAAAAAAAGAGAGAGAGAGAGAGAGAGGAAAAGAAACAACATTAATGGGGGGGGGGGGGGGGTTTCTTCGAAACCAACAACAAGACACGACACGATACAACTCAACTATAATCCTCCTTTCTCCCTCCCTTCCCTTCCCTTCCCTCTCTCCCTTATGCCCCTGCCGTCATAATTTCATTTTTCTTCCTAAATCACTGATTGCTTTCTTCTTCGTTTGATTCATCCCCCCCCTCCCCCTCCCTCATGTGAATCTGAACTGGAACGCCACCGTCCCACCGCCTTCAAATTTCTTCCCTTTGGGTATGTATCTCTTTCTCTCTCTTCAAGTTTATTTCAACCAAATTTGGGTTTTTCTTTCTTCCATGGCCTCTTAATTTAGCATCGAGAAACATCTCAGGAAGCTGAGGAATTGAGATAACTAGCTTCTTCTTTTTTGTTTGTCGTGCTCTGGCTCCTTGTTGTGACGAATCTGACCTCTCTTTTATTTGAAAATTTCGAATGGGTTCTGTTTATCTTCTCAATTGCTTAGCTCTTTTTTCGAATGGGAAATTACTTAGTCACACTGACGAGGAGTTTTTTGATTAAATTGAGTATGCATCGAGCAACATTTTTTGTAAATCGAATTCAGCTTCAGTTTAGTCTTTAAACCAACTTATTTGATTTCAAAATTTCGAAATTTTGCCAATTTTTTATTCCTCCATGTTTGAGATCCTGAGGTTGAACTTTTTTTGTCATTGTTAGTTTAACAATATTCAAATCTGATGCTTGTCTGTTTTTTTTCATATTAAATAATTGATTGCCCTGCAAAGACAACAGATTATTCAGTTTGATAGCTCTAGCTTAGATTGTTTGGTAGCTTCTGATTGTTACTACTACAATAACATTTTAAAAAATTATTGGAATTGTAAGCTTTTAGTTTTAGCATTGTTCGTTCATACATGAACATATTTCCTGTTTGAATTTTCGACTATCCAAGATACTATCAAAGCCTAACTTGTTACATACCTGTTTCATTTCGATAGGAATTGTGAAGAATTTAAACCAAGTGGCTGTGCTACGTTTTTTATGCTTGGACCGATCCTAAGAGACTCGAGTTGCAGTATGTCGTACTGCTTAGAGATTATTGATCCCGTTTTCCGGAAATAAACAAAGGAACTTGACCAATTGCACCAAGTAACTACCTCCTAACCTACTTTGCTCCAATTTTTGAACTAACATGTTACCTGCTTGACTGTGATAACATTTCCTTTCGTTTTTTTCAAGGTTTTTGGTACTTGTTAAATTTGCCTCGTGATGTAAATAAGCTTACATTTTGGCCATCATATCTTCTTTTGCAGAAGAACAAGAGAGGAGAAGAGCTAGTTTATACTTATTAGATATTTTAATAAGTTTTTGAGTAGTTTTGGACTCTCCATGGCTCCTGGTGGCAGTGCATTGAAAGAGGCCCTAGAATCCAACTCAACAGGCTTGGATTATGAGGTTAAGATGGCAAAGGTTGAGGCTAATAATAAACCAGCAAAATCAGGTAGTGGCTCCATTGGTAAATTCCACTCGAGCAATGGTGTTTATGAGCTCCTTGAATGTCTGGTTTGTACAAATCTCATGTATCCTCCAATTCATCAGGTGTGTCTCTTTTCTTCCTTTGGTTGTCACTTACATACGTCTTGATCTGTAAAATATGTTCCTTTCTTAACTTTGTTTTTCCTTTATTTAATGTTGACCTCTATGTTTGTTTCCCATAGTGCCCGAATGGCCACACATTGTGTTCGAGCTGCAAACTGAGAGTGCAGAACACATGCCCTACATGCCGCTATGAGCTTGGTAACATAAGATGCTTGGCCCTGGAGAAGGTTGCAGAGTCTTTGGAAGTTCCATGTCGGTACCAAAATTTAGGGTGTCATGACATTTTTCCATACTACAGCAAGCTCAAGCACGAGCAGCATTGCAGGTTTCGATCCTACAACTGTCCTTACGCTGGTTCTGAGTGTTCAGTGACGGGTGATATTCAGACTCTTGTTGACCATCTCAAAGATGATCATAAAGTTGATATGCATGATGGGTGCACATTCAACCATCGTTATGTGAAGTCAAATCCACATGAGGTCGAGAATGCTACATGGATGCTTACGGTAATTTTATATTTATGCATTCCCTTATAGCTCTCTAGTCATTGTTAAACTGTACTTGGCAGTTGGCATAGTCAATATCTCGTCATGATTTTGGAATTCATGTCGCATACTGTTTGCCATATCTTTATCGTAAAACAGATTTGATTATCAAAGATGGGATTCATGGTTATTATTTTGTTAAGTCTGCTTTCTTTATTGATACCTCGTAATCTCATGGTTTTATCACAAAAGAATGAGACTAGGGTGGGTTGGGATTTCTTCATTCTTTCGCTAGAAAACAAGAGTACCAGAATAGAACTGAACATTGAACCCTGAATTTGTATAGGACTGTTGATTTTCTATGAGACAGATATTTTGGATATAAGAAGAGAATTAAGGAACTGACGATGTCACGACTTGAATTGAATCATAGTTTATCTGATGCTGTCTAGGTCTTCAACTGTTTCGGAAGGCAGTTCTGCTTACACTTTGAGGCGTTTCAGCTCGGGATGGCACCAGTGTACATGGCGTTTCTGCGGTTCATGGGAGATGAGAACGAGGCTAAGAAATTCAGTTACAGCTTGGAAGTTGGAGCTCACAGCCGTAAACTGACATGGCAAGGGATTCCAAGAAGCATCAGAGACAGTCACAGGAAAGTCCGTGATAGTCAGGACGGACTCATCATTCCTAGAAACTTGGCTCTCTACTTCTCCGGCAGTGACAAAGAAGAACTCAAGTTGCGAGTCACTGGAAGGATATGGAAAGAAGAATAAGCAAATGATGATAGTAATGAGTCATGATGCCAAAGCAAAATGGGAAATAAGAAATAAGCTCTGAAGAATTGTTTCAAGTCTATAACGGATGATGTACATAACAGCCTTGAGAGAGCTTCTTGATCATATGGGAGGAGTCGAAATTCCAAATTTTTTTCGTCAACTTTTTTATTCAGTAACTAAGAGATGAAAAATGATCACATGCTTGGTTGAAAAAAATATCTTATGGTTTGCATTGCAATGTTACAATCTTTGTCTTGTAATTTTGGTTGTGTTGGAAGAGATGAAGACGATCTTTTTGGTTCTGTTCTTCTTTTTTTTTTGCTAAATTTGTTGTTCAATTGGTTCTGTTCTTCGATCAAATGGTTTCGTTGTATGTATATCATACCGTATGGTTAATGTGACAATAGTACAAAACACATGTGCATGAGTTAAGCATCATTATCCTGAACGATGATTTCCTAAAAGGACAAAAAAACCTTGGTGAATGTTTGGAATTGTCAACATTATTCATTCATTCTACGTACCAAACTGATAAAATTATGAATTCCTGCAACTAAATGATATGTGTCAGAATTTTAGAAATATATATGAATGATAAGTTGGTATGGTCCGGAGAAGGACGTGCAAGACGTGAAGGCTACTTAACATTTCCTACGTTGGTTATATTAAAATAACCAAACTAATTAGCCAAATGTGTTTTTTTTTTTTCTTTCTTTTCTTCCCGAATTTATCGGGGAACAGAGAAACAGAGAGACTTGCAATCATTCTAAGAAAATTATTTTTTTTGTTTCTCTTTTTCCCAAACTCTCTTTTTTTCTTCTTCTCCAGATTTCTAAATCTTTCAGGCTCGTTGATATTTTTTCCCCCGACATTGTTCAAACTTTTGAGAAACGGATCCTTCCTTTGTGGTTTTTTTGAAGTAATTCACTCTTTACAATCATCATCATTTTCTAGGATTTGATTCAATGGCAGAAACGAGGTAACAATCATTATTTTCTTTGATCATCTTTTACACCATATGTTCTGCAAATTGTTGTCACAAAATTCTATTTTTTCTCTCGATAAAACAAACAAATTTTTAGATTCATAAACATGGGAAACATATGCATGTTAATACACGTTGTCATATGTTTCCAACAGATAAAAAAAAAACAGAGATTGATAAAACAACAGAGTCGAAACAGAACAATAAGAGAAAACCCGTGTTGGCAAAAGATCTGAAGATATGTTCTGTTGCGGTGGTGCGGATGAGGAACCCGCCGGTCCCCCCGCAAACCAGTATGCAGCCCCTCCTAACAAAGCCGGGAATCCCAATTTTGGCGGTGATTTTTCCTAATCTCCTCGTTCCTTGCTATACATGACTTATATTTATGTTCTAGCTAGAGTTTCACCACGAGCGTTTGCGTTTGCGTTTTGCGTGTTTGGAATAGGTGGGAATAGAGGGGAACCGAGGAATCCAAACGCAGCGAGACCGGGAGCTCCTGCAAAGGTTTTGCCCATAGAGATCCCTTCTATTGCATTGGATGAGTTGAACAGAATGGCAGGTAACTTCGGAAACAAGGCACTCATCGGTGAAGGTTCGTATGGACGTGTCTTCTTAGGCAAGTTTAAGGGCGAAGCTGTTGCTATTAAGAAGCTCGATGCCTCTTCTGAAGAACCTGACTCCGATTTCACCTCACAGGTACACATACATACTACAAAACTGATCCTTCAGCTCATTTTCCAAATCACGGTTTGGTCCCTTTTGGCCGAGAAATGATCAGTCTTCAAATCCCTTTTTCCACTCCCACTATGCTAAAATGTTTAAAGCATATACCATTCTGTTGCCTATTAGGTTTAAATCGATCGTCTTCTCTTCAAGCTTCTACCTTTTCCCTGCACTGTTTAATGGTATATACTAATCTAATTTCTGCATGTTTATAATGGCAAGTTATCGGTGGTATCTCGGCTTAAACACGACCATTTTGTGGAGTTGCTGGGGTACTGCTTGGAGGCAAATAACCGCATTCTCATCTACCAGTTTGCAACCAAAGGTTCTTTACACGATGTATTACATGGTACGTAATTTCAACTTTCACAACTCATATAGTAGTCATATTATGGTGAATCATATGTGACATATACGTATATGGATCATATCAATCCAATCGTTAGGGAGAAAGGGAGTGCAAGGGGCTGAGCCAGGACCAGTACTGAACTGGAACCAAAGGGTAAAGATCGCATATGGAGCAGCCAAAGGGCTTGAGTTCCTTCACGAGAAGGTCCAGCCACCAATAGTCCACAGGGACGTGAGGTCGAGCAATGTCTTGTTGTTTGATGACTTTGTCGCCAAAATGGCTGATTTCAACTTGACCAACGCTTCCTCCGATACCGCGGCTAGGCTTCACTCTACTCGTGTTTTGGGAACGTTCGGCTATCACGCTCCAGAGTATTATACCACAACCCACATCTATTCATTTGCTTATAACAATCGGATATATATATACTTTTTTTTTTTTTTGTGATAAAGCACAATATATATTGGATATGTCTACTCTAATATTGTTAACGTAAGAGTGTTATTTTTCTTAGGTATGCAATGACAGGACAGATAACGCAGAAGAGTGATGTGTATAGTTTCGGTGTTGTGCTATTGGAGCTCTTGACAGGAAGGAAACCCGTAGATCATACCATGCCTAAAGGTCAACAAAGTCTTGTTACTTGGGTATGTAACACAAATAGTTAACGTACACATGTTCGAAGGACTCCATATTTACCCTTATTAAGCCATCTCACTTTTTGTCTTCTTGTTATAGGCAACTCCAAGACTAAGTGAAGACAAAGTGAAACAATGTATAGATCCGAAGCTTAACAATGACTTCCCTCCCAAAGCAGTAGCCAAGGTCCGTTCTATAATTTCTCTATATATCAAGCGTTGTCTTCATTGGTGTAACCGCGTAGTGACACTTGTATCATGAAATACCTAGTTAACCTAATAAATATAGAAAACTATAAGCATACCAATCACTTAGAGATGGGTTTTTGTAGCTTTCATGGTAACCCAATGTCCGAGTGCGCGGGAAGATCAGATTTGAGTGCATTTAGATATCATTTATACGTCTCTTATTGAAAGCTAGTGAAACTGAAATCTTGAGTTGATGACATATATAGCTAGGTTTAGGATCTTTTTGGTTTGGTTTTCTAATAATGAAATTATCTTCGTGGGTGGTCGAACAGTTGGCAGCCGTGGCGGCTTTGTGTGTCCAGTACGAGGCAGACTTTCGACCGAACATGACCATCGTTGTCAAGGCACTTCAGCCTCTTCTTAACTCTAAACCAGCTGGTCCTGAGTCTTCATCCTAAAAATAACCAGTTTTACCATTACTCTTCCTTGTTCTTCTTATTTTGTTGCTGTTCTTGTTGTTGTTGCTATGGCTATTTTTCTCTCGTTTCTGTTCGAATACCTATGATTATTGGTTTATAAGAGATGATGTTACTTTATGGAATGTAACTTATAATTTTTCATTGGTTTAAAATCCCTTTCGTTTTAGGTTTTATCTAAGCCTTCAATCGAACTTTTTAAATCGAAACTCTCACTTTTGGAGGAGTCAATACTGCAAGAAATAGTATAATTTAGTTCTGAGATTTTGTGAGAGATTATTTTAAAGATTATAAGTTTTTTTTTTATTACACTTTACTATTAAAAGATCTATGTAGATTGTATATCCCTAATGTGTTGACCTAATTTTGGAAAATTAACTTATACATATGAAGTAATCAGATTCTATATTACAAAAATATATATTTAGATTAATATGTTACTATATATTGTGGATAGAAAAAGATATGTCAATGTCGGTAATTAACTTTTCAATTATATGTATCAGATTAGAATATCAAAAATTAAGGTATCATTAATACGTTGAACCATTTCTTTTGTAAAGAGACAAATGCCATAAATTTGCATCTTTCTTTATTCGTTTATTTGAATCCTACATCTTATTTACTTTTTTTTTTGTTGTTTGCCAATTTGTACTCATTTCAATTTTTTGGGAGTCATCTTTCCAATTTTATTCGATTCAGTTACCAACATTTCAACATACACAAAACAATGATTTTTTGGATTAGGTAACCAATGATAACGATCAAATGTTTCAAAAAGATTATATTGTGAATTTAATGTTTTACAATATGAAATTTAATTAGTAATATTATAAGTTTCCATTGTCTTGTTCATATATCTCAAACAAATCATGAATAACAAAAAAAAAAAACAACACAATGACGACATCCACACATTGACCCACTATTTCACTTATACCATACAAAGCTGAAATCCCAAACAAACCACATTCACCACTATTCTAATTTCTAAATAGCAATAAAAAATGAAAAGAAAATAAAATGATTTTTTAAAATTGGTTTCATATAATTGGGAGGAAAAAAAAAAGAAAAAAAAAGAGAGATAGACATGACTTTGGGATTTTTTGCTCAAAAATATTAAATAGCGACATTATAAAAAATGGATAGTTTTACTTTGTTTTATTTATTTTACCAGAATGTAAAGAAAGAAAGTAACAGTAAAGCACATTTTAGGTCTTTTTATTTATTTTTAATTTATTAATAACTTTTTTTTTTGTGTTAACAAACCGTCCCCTCTTATATACCCAGCAGCTATCATCTCTTCTCTTCTCTTCTCTCCTCTCTTAATATATAATTTTACTTAGCTGCGAATCTCGTCGTCATCGTCGCCCGACGAACCCTGTTTTGCGTCCCTTTTTCCAATCCCAAATTCAATTTGGATTCGATTCCTTCGATTCAGGATTCGTATAGACGTATTCCGTTATTGGGTTTTATCCATTTCTTCGTCCTATAGATCTCGATCGAACGTTTCCTTCCAACTTTTCCCGATTCGATTTTTATTATTTTTTGGGGTTGATTTCGTTGTCTCGATTTGGGCGGAATTCAATCGGACGGACTCTCTTTTGCTCCGTTTCCTGAGAGGTTTTTTGTTGCGACGCTATTCCGTGTAGGAGAGGATTATGGAATCATTGGTTGATGAACAAAGTTAAGTGTAAAACGATGCCGGGTTTAGCACAGAGGAATGAGCATTACTCTTTTGGGTTTTGGTCTGAGGACGTCGATGGAGTTAGCTACGATCAGTTGCAGAAGGTACTTCTTCTTCCGATTGAAATTTTTTGTTTTTTTGTTTACGTTGAATTTAGCCCAGATTTGATCGTTGCCTTTTGCTTGATGATTTGTTTTACGTACTTGTGATTGATGTTCTCGTGATTCTGTCTTGATGATACTGGATCTTAGTTATATTTACTCTGGTCTCAGGAACCGTGTGTCTCATTCATGGTTTTGTATTTCTTGTTACCATATTCCATACTCTGAGATGAGGCTCTGTTAAACCTGTGTATGCGTCCACATATTTTCTTATAACTTACTATACTCAGAACCCAATTTTTTTCCAACTTCTTATGACAGTTCTGGAGTGAGCTGTCGCCCAAAGCTAGGCAGGAGCTCCTTAGGATTGATAAGCAGGCTCTGTTTGAGCAAGCTCGCAAGAACATGTGCTGTTCCAGATGCCACGGCCTGCTGCTTGAAGGTTTCTCGCAGATTGTTTCTACTGGGAGGGCTGCGCAACTTAAAGTATTAAAAGATCAAGCTGACGGTAAGTCATCTGCCAATAGGAGATATACCGTTGCCTACCAAAACCCTGCTATTCATAGATGGGGAGGTCTCTCAACAACACGCGAGGGATCTCTCACACTTCTTGACAGCTTTTTGTACGCAAAATCTTTCAAAGGGCTTCAAACTGTAAGTTCATCTAATCTTTCCCTATACTTGGTTGGTCCACTTTACCTAGCTGATCTTATTAGCTCTAGCAGGTGTTTGAAAGTGCCCGTGCCCGAGAGAGGGAGCGTGAGTTGCTCTATCCTGATGCCTGTGGTGGCGGAGGTCGGGTATGGCTAAGTCAAGGGATGGCTGGTTATGGTAAAGGTCATGGAACAAGAGAAACATGTGCTTTGCATACCACGAGGCTCTCTTGTGATACATTAGTGGACTTTTGGTCTGCACTTGAAGAGGAAAGCCGAGTGTCACTTTTGAGGATGAAAGAAGAGGATTTCGTGGAAAAACTAATTAAGAGGTTTGTTATTTTCTGATTTAATATTCTTGGCTGATCTGTTGCACGTTCAGTTGATAAAGTTTATGGATATGATTTTGTTTCTCCGGCTAGGGTGTATTATGGATTCTTACTACTCAAATTACCTTATCGTAAATTGAATAATAATTAGGGATTCAGTATTCGACTTTGGGGATGTGCCTATCAAGCCATTGCACGCATTACTTAGTTGTTATGTTCTCCTTCTCTTCTTTTTGTTGTCTTGTGACTTCTTTTCCTTTCCTTATAACATGTTGACCTTTCAAACTACAGATTTGAATGCAAAAAGTTTTGTAGAGACTGCCGAAGAAATGTTAATCGTGAGTTTAAAGAACTTAAGGAACTTAAACGAATGCAGAGAGAACCAAGATGCACTGACTGGTTTTGTGTTGCCGATACAGCCTTTCAGTATCAGGTCTTTTATCTTACTTCACCTTTTCCTCTTACTTAGTGGAATCCTATTTCCTATACGACAAGAGCATTGATTTCAAGAGTAAATTTATCAATATACCTGAGGGGCTTATATTGGGAGGTAGAATCAGAAGTTTGATTGCATTTTCTCAGGTGGACATTGATTCTGTCCGAGCAGATTGGAGTCAAAATTTTACAGAGAATGCTGGATATCATCAATTCGAGTGGGCTATTGGAACTGGAGAAGGCGAATCTGATATCCTCGAGTTCAAAAAATTAGGCAATGATCGAAGTGCGCAAGTCAATGGCCTAGACCTTCGTGGATTACACGAATGTTACATTACTCTTAGGGCTTTTAAAAAAAATGGCCGCTCCTCCGAGATATCTGTCAAAGCCCATTCATTGAGGGGTCAACAGTGCGTTCACTCCAGGCTTGTGGTTGGAGACGGATTTGTTTCAATTAAAAGAGGGGAATGCATTCGAATGTTTTTTGAGCATGCTGAAGAGGCTGAGGAAGAAGAGGTACTCAAAGCCTTCAAATATTTGCAATTTTGCAGATAAGATATCTCCGTGCTAAAATATTATCATTGTGTTTCCAATGCTTTATAAGGATGAAGTCATGATAGACAAAGATGGGAATGAGGTTGATGGTGAGTGCTTGCGTCCACAAAAGCATGCTAAGAGTCCAGAACTTGCTCGAGAGTTTCTTCTTGATGCTGCAACAGTTATTTTCAAGGAGCAGGTTTGTTATAGATTTTTCTAAGTTAACCTTCCATTCATTGTTATATGTTCTTTGTTTAGGTGTTCATACCTATCTATTCTTAAATATATCTTAGGTAGAAAAGGCATTTAGGGAAGGCACAGCCCGTCAAAATGCACACAGTATATTTATCTGTCTTTCATCAAAACTATTAGAGCAACGTGTTCATATCGCCTGCAAGGAAATTGTCACCTTAGAGAAGCAGGTTTGTTCGCCGCCATCTTGATTAGATTATTTTGACAATCTACGCAATTTAACAAGACATTTACGCTTTTATCTGTCTAACAACTCCATCATCTTAACACTTGCAGAAAAAACTTCTTGAGGAAGAAGAGAAAGAAAAGCGTGAAGAAGAGGAGCGAAAAGAAAGGAAACGAATTAAAGAAAGAGAGAAAAAACTTCGTAGAAAAGAGAGGTTGAAGGAAAAAGAACGAGAAAAGGAGCAGAAGAATCCAAAATTTAGTGATAAAGCAATGCTGCCGAATATGTTTAGGGAAGAAGAAGGCTCCACAAATCTTGATGAGGAAACTAACGACACCATAGGCTACGAGGAGTCCGGTATTGAAAATGGAGATGTAGATTTATCTTCACCTGGTTCCCTTGATGATCAAGATGGAGAGTGTTTGGATGGTTGTACTTCTCCAAGAGCCGAAACCCACTATTGTGATAGCACTGATAGGGAGATTATAGATCATGAAGATGAAAACGGGTGCTTTACACATGAAAATTCAAGACCTGTTCATCAGACAGCAAGATTCTGGAAAGAGGTTCATCCTGATCATGCTTTGAGGTGGTCAGAAAAAGGCAGATATACAGAGAATGCTTCTTTTGTCTGCAATGCTGGGGAAAGATACTGTAATGATAGATCAGAAATGTCTTCACCACACTTCAATGGGTCAGATAAAAATTGGAGAGTGAAAGCTTCAAAGTCTAGTGGTAGCCCAAATAGCGTTAGGTCTCATGAGGAGTTTCAATGTGCGGACGACAAGACTGTTGAGAGGTATAGTTACCATTCTTGCAGTTGCAAACCCATTAATGGTCATCGGGAAAAGGTAGATTCTAATATATCTGCAACCAGAGGCATGCGAGACCCCAAAACAATCTTCAAATCAGACTCTGATCTTGATGCCTCCAAGCTTAACCGAGCCTATAGGTATACTCAGTCAAATAATCATCGAGAGGTAAGAAGCAAAATGAGAAACAGTCAAAACGCTTCTATGATGGATCCAGGAAATGTGAGAAAAATCTTAAATTCTGTGGAGCTGAAGCATCCACGAAACAGCTCAAACTCTGAGGTATCATCATTTACATGTTCAAAGGCAGAAGAGATTGAAAAGGCTCTTTGCAAGGCTACAGAAAAGTTGGGTGATGGGAATATTAGTAAGTCAACCAAGGAAAACAAGAAGATGGAAGTTCACATAACACAGAAGAATGATGACCTGTACTTGAAAGATCCTATGATGAGTAGAACCTCCAGCTCAGACAATTGCTCTTCATGTCCCAGTGAAGGAGATAGCAATACAGCTTCTTCAAACAATGGAAACACAGAATCCTCCTCGATGTCTGTTCCCGAAGTTGCCAATCAGCAATCTGAAGGAAGGGAGTCTCTAGTGGGCACTCGGAACGATATGCCTGACTGTCACAAGAAGATAGCAGAGAAAGTGGCAGAAAAGAGTATTGATGAAAGAGACGTTTTAAGGACTAAGATTATGTCTAACCTTCCAGCTGAAAACGGGGAAAGTAAATTGTCAGGAACTCCTGTTATGGTTCCGAGCCAAAACATGGAGAAAATGGTACCAAGTGTTAATACTGGTTCCTCCTACCTGTCCCAGCCACAAAACATGATGTTTCCCCAAATGCTTAACCAGAGTATACCATTGTCGTCAGTCTTCCAGTCTCCTTCAACAATGGGCTACTATCATCAAGCTCCAGTCTCTTGGTCTGCAGCTCCAGCCAACGGGTCAATGCAATTTCCTCATCCTAATCATTATGTATACACTGGTCCTCTTGGATACAGTCTGAATGGAGAGTCCCCTTTGTGCGTGCAGTACGGGACCCCATTGAACCATTCAGCAGCCCCTTTTTTCAATTCTGGGCCCGTTCCAGTTTTCCATCCGTTTGCTGAAACCACCTCAATGAACACTGTGGACCAAGCTCAGAATCTGGAGCCGTTGGAACACAATTTTCTGAAGGAAGCAGATGAGAGGAAGATAAAAGAAATGCCTCCAATGGAAACTCCAAGGAGCAGAGGTCCACAAACTGAGAGTGATGAAAACTTCTCCTTATTCCACTTTGGGGGGCCGGTTGCTCTATCAACAGGAAGGAAGTCGAATTCTGCTCATTCCAAAGATGGAGTTTTAGGGGATTTCTCGTTGCAGTTCTCAGGAGATCATGTTTTTGGTGATCCCACCGGCAATAGTAAGAAGGAGAAAGAGAACACAGTTGGTGAAGAGTACAACTTGTTTGAGACTAGTAACAGATTGAGGTTTTCTATCTTCTAAAGTTTTATACTATTTCTTGGATTGTTTGGCGTCATGGAGAACGCAGTAAAATTCCTTTGGTTGTTTTATTTCATGTAAAGATCTCTGCATATTTCAAAGGTTTTGTTTTTCTCAAAATTAATAATTCTCCATTCTTGGGTGTATTTCATCACAACGCAAACAGGCAAAAATATATATATAATGATTTATATAATATCATCGTCTTGACATAATTAAAAATCTATTGTTTGGAGGATTTCAGAACAGCGAGATAAAGTCCTTGCTCATCAATAAACTGGGAAAGCTCAAATGAATGCCTCTTAGCAACATCCCTCAATACGGAATCATCAGGTAAATCAGAGACGACCACATCTGAAAACTCTTTCCTTTGCTGCTCCAAGCCTTGTCTACCTTGCGGGTGACTGATTACTACTCGTGCACCTGTTACAAGTATTATTAGACCGGATTGTGTTAGAAACTAAGACCCCAACAAGTGTTAGGCTGAGAGAGAAAGAGTGAAGAAAGGTCAGAACATTGTACCAGATGAGCAACGTTGAGAGAGTGTGTTGAACAGCTCGTCGAGGTCGAAAGGCAAAGCTGGAATAAAGTAAAGAAACACAGCGTCTAATGGAGACCATTTCTCAGGGACATAGATCATTTCCCCTTGCCAACATTTGACTTTGTCGTACTTCTCTTTGACACAGGCTAACGTAAAAAGGGAGTCATGGACTATAAGCAGGAGCTGAGAAGGTGAAGATTCCACCAGACGATCAACGAAGGCCTCTGAGCTCATTGAAACCAAAATCCTCGAGGATTCTGATATTTCTCCAGCCTTTATGATTCTTTCCATCTTCTGGGTGTGCTCAGTGGAGTCATTTTCCATAGATTCGAGAAAGGACCAATCTTTCTCATGGAAACCGACTACTGAGACTGTTTCTTCTGGAGGGGAAGTTGAAGAAACACAATACGCTCTGTAACCAGAGACATTAGACTGTGAAAATGAAACATGTTTAGGAGAAAAGAAGTGACTTTGAAGACGAGTTAGTTTCTTTGGTTGCAAAGAGAGAAGACGCGAAGAATCAAAAGCAAACAGAGAAGGTAAAATGGCAGACGGAGAAGCTGGAAACGATAAGGAGTACATTGGTAAAACTACAGTTTCTGTACTAAATCGAGGAAGAAGAAGAAGATAGCAGCCAGAATTTTGTAGGGCATCTCGAAATTGAGAAGACGACGATGACGTAGTGTCTCTATATGGGCCGAAATGAGAAAACCCAATAGGCCCGTTAGTTAATTGTTGTGAGCTTCAGTTATGCAACGGTGGAGAACATTCGGAGAGAAAGAGAGACGGTGATCGGAGAGAAGGAGAGGATGGGAACGAGAGAAGTATACGAAGAGAAGCTTCGGCGTGGGAATCTTGATTATGATCCGACTATGAATCCTGGTCTTGGTTCAGCTCGCTGTCCTCGTTGCCTTTCTCTCTTAAACCCTAATTCCGTGAGTTTTTTTTTCCCAGTGTTTTGTGGTTTCTGAGTTAGAGGAAGGTATGAGAGTATGATTCTTGTGACAGGAGAAAGGAGAGTGGACGATTACTCCCGTTTTGCACGATGCTGCTGCAGTGGTTAGTTTTGGGATTCTCTTCAGTGGTTATTGTAGCTTATTTCTATGAAAATTGTTTTCTTTCCTTCTTTAGCTGAGAATATGATCGGACTGGTGTTATGTACTCCTATCTGGATTATTTGGTTTGTAGACAATCAGCTGAATTTATATGCAATTAAAGTTTTGAATGAGAATTTCTATTCTATCTTATGCTATTGGGTTGTGATTATGGATTTCTTCCATTGGCCATGTGAAGTTTTGACCTTTTCTCAATGAATTCTGATATGGCTTTTGCTAGGCTAGTGTAAATTTGGTCTATTGCAATGTCTGATTAGTATTCTGTTTAAGCCTTTTCACTGGAAATAGAGCATCATATTATCCAATTATCTTCACTTCGCTGGTTTGTCATTTAAATCGTTTGGTTTTGACTTTTCTTTTGGGAAGTATTGTTTGGATGGAAATCCCATGAGTCCGTGACCTTTTGGATAGCATGTAATTTAGCTTTTAGTTGTACTCTGTTTCTAACTAGCTGTTTCCTGTGCTATAGGCTGGTTCTGGTATTGGTGGCTTGCTTAGTGCCGTCCATGCTTTCAATACAGGTATCATCATCACATGATTCTCATGTCGTTAAATATTTATCATTTCTACAATGGATCTTTATCTCTTGTCTTTCAGGGATCCCCTATCTTCAAAATCGGTTTCCAGGGTCAAAGCGGCTCTCTTTTCTTGTGGGGGTATCTATTTTCTCTTGCCTTGTCTTCTAGTTCTGAAATTCTGCCTGTTTCTTCTTGTCTCTTGACAATACCTCGTATGAATTTTCTTTGTTACTCACTTATTGCTTTTCCTTGTAGGTTCCATTGCTGCTAGTATATTCAGGTGTAGGGGCTGCGTTTGGAGGTAGCATATTCTTCTTTGGCTTACTCGCTTGTGTTGTGCCTAAATATTTATTATGTATATATCCTGCAATAATGACTATATTTCTGTGTTGTCCTGACTTTTGTGAATGGCCTTCACATTTTGTATTTTGAACTTATAGTATGTTGTTTGCTTAGAAAAACTTGTAGGTTTAGCTTTTTAATGCAAGAAATTTTATGAGCCATGATCATTTTTTCACTATTGTCTGGTTAGAATACAAATCTGCACTGTGTAGAGTTGCAACTTTTACCCTTAGGTGAATAACTTGCACTGATGATGTAGCCCATCAAGAGGATTGGTTTCCTCGATCTATTTAAAATGCACAAATGCCAGGTGGTAGTGGGTATTTAGTAGCTTCTTGTATATATGCTTTTGTTTTATGTACCCAGTACATATGCTATATATGTCTGTCTGTTTTCTTTCAAGAAAGCACCTGAACTTTTGTTTTTGTATAATATTTGGTAGGTTATGCTCTTCCGAAGTTTGCACAGCTGACAGTCACCTCGTATTATGCATCTTCAAGTGCTTCACATTATGGAATTTCTATGCTCACACGCCGTATCGAAGAAGCTCATCTCTCTCGAACTCAACAAGAAGAGGTAAAATGAAGTCATGAACAGATATAAACGAGAATCTTTCCCACTCCTCTTGCTATACAGCTTATTCCAGGATCTCTTTTTCTATTTGGTATTTTTATTGCATTTTTTATCACATTCTTGAGAACCACATTTATAATGTTAATTCTTCAACATAGTTATACCAAATATAGTCTTTTAGTTCCTCTCCATCTTGACTTTTTGTTTTGGTTTTGTTGCCATGTTAAAAAATGCTTCTTTTCCCTGTTCATTGCTAATGCCATAGTATATGATTCATGAAGATAGTGTAGAAAGATAATCTATCGTTTATACAATATCTTCCTGGTCATAGTTTACAAGCAATCTTGAATCATGTCTTCTCAGTGGCTACCTTTACATGTGAATGCAACTTTTTGACATGTTTTTCTTGAATTCTGACATAAGATCATCAGAGATTCGAGTGATGGATGCAAGCCAAGTAGTTTTATTGAAAAATAGTGGTATAAGAAATCATAGTCCCAAGGATTGAACCACATGGTCTATACTCTATAGGGTCGGTGGAACTTTGTGTAGCTTTATGGACACCAAAATAAGACCGTTTTGGCAGGTTGCACTGTTGGTGTAAAACAGATTGAGTGAGTTGTTTTATTTTCTGAAGGGGTTTGAGATGTGTACTGTTCGAACTATCATCCTCAAGTTGCAACTTTCCTAGGGTTGTGGGCCGATGTTCCTTAAATTCCACTAGTCCTTTTTACATATCTAAAAGAAAAAGAAAAAAAAAACAAGAGAGCAGAGAAAGTGGTCCTAAGGTTATATAATGTGTATGCTCTTCACACGTCTTTATTATGTGCTTCTTTTATCATGTTGTTCATCACATGCTTCCTTCTCCATTGCATTAACTAGTGGGGTCATTTTATAGCTGCTCTTGATGTTAACTCTTTGACAGCATTCATTCATTCATTCACTGAGTATCCTTAAATTTTCCATAATTTGATAAAAAGCATCACGTAATTCTCAGAGGTACTACTGTGCTGCTGCTTGTTTAACACCTCTGCAGTTTTGTATCTAAAGAAAAATGTTTCCACTGGGGGCAGATATGTCTTTCTTTCTTTTAGTGTTTTGTTCCCATGTGTTTGATGAATATGATATACATCCTCATTGCAAAAACCCATTGTTCCAAAACTGTCCCATAAGACTTGTCTAGAAAACCTTATCTTTCCTCCTTTTGATTGACAGGCTGAGTTTGCACCGTTTCGCCCTTCCCCCGTAAAATAGACAGCGACTGTCCTGTTCCGCGACTAAAGACTTAAGGTCAGAAATTTTGCAATGTCACTTTCTGCAACCTGTTATCACAATAAGATCTGCTGAGAGACTTGTTTGAAAGCTTTAGGATTATTGGTGGTATTACAAGCGTAACGTTAGTTAATTAGTTACACATTAGCAATCATGCCACAACTATAACATTTTACGACATAAATAACTAGAGAAGCAAAAGTACTTCTTCTGTTCAGTCTCAGTACTTGTAAACTTCATTACATGAAGAGTATCCAAAGTTGTTCATTTGGAATTACCACTCTAGTAGACTTGATTAGAGTGAGATTAGCTGTCATTTAACTTTTTATATATCAGTTAGCTTTGATACGGAAATGAACCACAGCTGGTAAGCAAATAGGTGTTATATATCTGTAACCATCACGAGTTGTTGCCAAGAAAATCCGTTTTGTGATATGGTAATAGTACTGTATATAAAGGCAATGCCACATATAATTTGTAACTGAAGTCTTGCCAAAACTAGAAAGTCAAGCTTTTGAATTTCTTTGTCTATGCAAAAGTCGTAGCTACATATATATATGGTTGTCTTTAATGTTTGATTAGTGTAACACATTGAAGGTCAGATGTTAGGTACGAGGATTGATGTCATTGCTTCGTCTCAGATGTAAGATTAATAGTTTGTGATTCTTGTAGGCCTTGGGCGTATGGACTTCATTCAAAGTATCTTGTATGGAGGCAGTAAGAAAGAAAACATGGCCATGTGCGGCTGATTCTAGCTAAGTTTTTTTCTTTTCCTTTCTTTTCAAGTCCATTTGTATTGATGATCATAGTATATGGGTAGAGAAATGAACTAGTAAATATGGTAAACAGCTTGTCGTTGATGATTCTCTTTGAATTGGCCAAAAAAGGTTTGAAAAGAAACTAAAGAAGAAAGCTTTTGAGGAAAAGCTTTAGCTTTAGGTTCTGTGTGTTTGAGAAAGATGTGAAAGCTCTCTTTGGCTAACTCTACATTTGTAATCATGGACCACTTTCACTTCTCAACTCTCAACTCTCTCTCTCCCCCCTTTTGTCTTGTCCATTGTCTTGAGTGATCCCCACAGTCACCGAATCATCATCAACATCTGCATTTACCCATCCTTTGAGCTTTCTTCGTTGCCTCTTGATTCGGTAAAAGACCGTTTAGTTAGACAGAGACCCTAAGCATTTGCATCTAAAGAGGCTTCTTGGGTTTTTAATGGTTAAAGAGACACAATTTGACTTAAAAGATTTTTCTCTCGACTGCAACAACAGAGAAAGTACGTGTGACTTCCATGGCCCTTAATTAATGTATCTTCCTCTTTCTCTGAAAGATATAGAGAGTCTTGAAGCCATAACAGAACTCAGAAATGAACAGATGAAAAAAAACAAAAAAAAATGATAATTGTATCAGACATTCACACACACGTGAGAGAGGAAAACGGATGAACATATATTTTACTACTTAACCAAAATATTTATTTCTTTTATTATTATAAACTCAGAATGTGAAAGCCTCGAAAAGGTTCAAGATCTACACATCATGCCGGTTCTTGTTTTCTCCAACACTCTCAAAAGAATTGGCTTCATTGATCGAGCGGGTCTCATCACGGCTATAAGTTTAAAAAAAAAGGAAAAGAAGAAAATGTCAAAGATGAAGATCGAGACTCACATGTTCTTGTACATTGGGTTTCATCAAACTATACGGCCAGTTAGGCTCCTTAGTCTCTTGCTCATGCGTCCTAAACGCTGAAGCTGGTGAAGATGAGTAAACGCCATGAATAGTGTTTGTTGACGTGGAAGGCGGTACACGCCACAAACCTAATGGACTTCCGTTTATTGTCGGTGGGTTAGAAGGAGGAGGAGGAGGAAGAGTACTCCTTGAAAAATACGGCGATGTATGATGTCGTCCTCCACCGTAGTATCTAGGTTCCGTCGTCCACGAGGGATAGTGACGGTGGTGGTGGCTGTTGAGGAAGCCGTAGACGTGGTGAGGGTCAGGCTGATGATGATGGTGAAGGTATGATGTCATGGAACCACGTTTGGCGTGTTGACGTTCTCGTTTGTGAGCGTTTTGGTGTCCACCTAGGGCTTGAGAAGTAGGGAAGTTTCTGAAGCAGTAGTGACACTCGAATCTCCTGTTGTTGTTGTTGTTGCTGTTGTTGTTGTTCTTGTCCTTTTCTTTGTCTCGGTCTTTGTCCTTGTCCTTGGTATTCTCAGAGCTCTCATCGTTCTTTGTAGACGTTAGATCAGAAGAATCTGCAGATAAGTTCTCGGAGTTATCTCCGACGAGCTCTTGGCCGAAGAGACGGATAATGGCTGCTTTTTCTTTGGGCGGAGTACGGCGGATGAAAGGAAGCTGAGAGAAAGATTCAACGTTGACGTTCATGAAATCGTGAGTTTCTCTTCGTCCATTGGTTTCGTCCATGGAAGAGAGAAAGAGAGAGAGAGAGAGAGGAATGAGTGAGTTTGAGACGAATGAGGTTGACTGTTTCAGAGACAGAAAGACAAGAGATGAGGTTTTGCATTAATTTAAAGAGGTTCCCAAATTCTTCTTTTTAAGGTAAATAATTGTACTCTTTATTTTTTTAACCAGCATATATGGTCGCATGCGTGTATAAGTATTTGTTTTTACGTTTATCCAACTATAGCTTGCTTTAAGACTAACATTTTTCACTTGCATATTTCCAAAATAACAAATCTACAACTTACGTAGTATTTGATTTTTACTGTCATTTTATATCACCGAATGATCTCCAACCAAATCTTATACTAATTTCAGAAAACATTTTCAAGCATGCATGTGTTGTTATATAAAATAAATAAATAAAAAAATCCCAAGAACATTTATCTTTTTCTTTACATCCCATATTTAGGATTTAAAAAAATTAAAAAGATAGAACCTAACTATTAATAAATATTGGAAGTAATTTCAGTAACTTTCATCTAAATAGTTGAGTATTCGAGATTTTTATGTTCAAATAAAAAAGGACAAAAAAACACTATAGCTACAACTTATATGTTAACCATAATGTATAAATAAATTAATCTTTTTAATCAATATATTTAAGAATAAATCTTTAAAATGGTTAACCATAATGCATTTTTGAAGAAACCTATATTAGCTTAAGGAAGCATATATACAAAACGTATGTACAGGGGGATGGACATATATAGTCCTATGATTGATAACAATGTTATCTTGTGTTGAAAAAATTGTAGCTTACTTACTATGATGGCTAATATGTACCGTGTCACTGGTAGGTGTAGTAAATTAATATAGCAAAATGGCCGGATGAATAAATATATAGGGAGCCCTCTAATCTCTCTATATTCACTTCCCCTACCTAATCTCCCACACACACATTGTATATACATAGAGTATCTATGGTGTATATAAATGCATCCGTCTCTTTAATAAAAATCAAACCACATCAATATAATCCTATTTTTTCAAAGGTTTATCTCCTTTTTTGCTAGTTGTTTCTTAAAAGTGATTCCTGCAAATGTTGAAACTAAGACAAAAAGCTTACCGAATTGATCATAAGCAGATGAAATGGGGTCATGGGTGAGTAATGAGATGGGCTAAAAAGAGTGAGAGTTTGTAGGTAAGAGATCATTAGCAAGGTGAAGTTAGGTGTGTACTCTTTTACATATTATCATGGACCTAGCTATTTGGTTACTATGTCTACGTATAAGTACATGGATTTTACTACTAATAGAGAGAGAGAGAGAAAGAGAAAGACCTAATATTAAAGAGAGCCTCTTCTCTCTCTCTCAAGGACCAGATTTTTAGTCTCTTAGCTTGGATGTTTTGTCTCTCTGATGCAAAGATGATCTTACAGAAAGAGAGAGAGAGGTGGTCCATGTACATGATCATTGAATGATGCTAATAATCAATTACTACTATAGTTGATGTCATCACCAGATAATTAAACGTATTAATAAGATTGAACCGTTGTTCGTAGAGGTCACATCCTATCACCTTATGTAACATATTGATACTTATATCAACTCGATCATCCGGCAAGATTTGATCCACGTACGTCTTCTTTATGAACTATATATATTCTCTTTATGTTTAATTACTATCAAAACTATAAATTATATTCCATCTTATAAAGTATTTTGTAAGAATAGTTCAATTTTAGATCTAAAGACGATGTCATCCGAAATGAAATGATAGCATCTAGACAATAATTATATGGCACTTGTTATGTCATACAAAGAAGAATGATAATTTAAACCAAACCACATTCCATGCATGCAGGTCCACTATACATCCAGAGATCTTCAACTTCAATATCTAAAAATTTAGTTGGAAATTGCTACGGAATCATGTATGTATATAAAATCGTTTGGTAAATGTTTCGGACGAAAAACTTTTGAGGAGTTCTGCCGTTGAGCCGTTGAGGCTGAACTAATCCCTCGTATGATGTTTTAGACTTCATTTTTTAAATGGTTTTCTTCGATTCTTGATCAAATTAATTACTAGCTAGATATATACATCAATTCAATATATATATATATAATTAGATATGTGACAAATCGATGCTGACTGTACATAGTATTCAAAGTTTTCATATAATACGTATCGAATAGTTTCTTGTTAATGTTCTATGCTCCAATATGGATCATCCATTTGTAGATAGACAAACTATTCCTTTTTTTTTTTTTCAACAGATAAACTATTCTCTCGTATAAAATAGAAACCTCGTTGTTTTATAATTCTAAAAATTCTAAATTAAATTTTGTAAGCAATTTTTTTTCCTCTTTTTGTTTTCCAAATGTTCTCAGCCGGATTCCGATAAAAATCTCTTTAGAGTTACTTCCTTGGATATAGTATTTGAATGATCAAAACTTATTGTAAGAAAGGAAAATAAAATTCAACTATGGTAATAATGTCCATGCGAATGCTGGTCCCAAAGTACATTAATTTACATACATAAAATTTTGCAGATTTTGGACTTCACATGACGAGTCCACATCTCTTTTATTTTCCCACAAACAATCACATTAGTAAACACTGTTTAAACCTAAGTACTAATTAACATATGTGATTTAAATTTTAAAATTCTAAAATTTAATGAGATATTTTTTTAATAGTATTTTCTGATATTTAAGTTAATTAGATACAATATATAAAGGAAAACTATTGAGCATGTTTATATATAGTATCGGCTTTTTAATTACTAATGTAGTCTTCTTCTAATAGAGATCTGAACATTTTATTTTCTTTTTGCCACACTAAAATGTTGTAAATCTCACGAAGTTTCTTTCTTTTTTTTTCAAAAAAACAAACAAAAATATACATACATTAGACAAAGTACGTAACTCATATAGTAAATGTATATCTAAAAAAAATGGTTAATACAAAGAAGAAGAAGAAGAAAAACAAAAAAAAAGAAACAAAAATGTAACAAAGGTCCCCCATGAAAGGCAAATTGAACCCCACAAAAAAACATGCACTTAAAAGCCCACAAATCTCCCAAACCCTAACAGCAACTCTTCATTGAATCATGCAATTGCAAACCTCTTTGCTTTGCCATTAAAGTCACAGTCATATGCTCAGAGATTTTAATGGCTTTTGTTGAGGGGACCATATCTCTCTCACTTTCTTTGCCCTCACATCCATTTCTTGGATTCAACTCCTCCTCCACTCTTCAAAAAATATTGATGAATTTTGTTTGGCCAGTAATAATAAATTATGAAAGATGAGTAAAGAGAGTCTAGCTAGATTTTGAGGGACAAGCATATCTTGTCCTTTTCGTTTATATGTGACCTCACAATGTTCAGCTATATATAAGGACCGAACTTCAAAGTAATACATATAGAAAATAAAGATATTATTTATATTTTCAAAGTATAATTATGTATAGAAGAAAACAGAAAATGAGAATGAAGGAAGCCCAAAATTAAAAGCTATAGAACAAATGCAAGTGGAGTTAAAAACAACATGAAGAGCTCACCCGTCTCTTTCAGTTTTAAACAATCTCTCTACTCTCTTAACTCTCCATCACTTCATCGAACACATCAAACTCATTATTAACTTTTTCTATACAATCATGATAAGACCAATTTATTTCTCACGGTGTGATCTTCAATATGAATAATTATACAAAGAGAACTAAGAATTTTTTTACTAGCAAAGTAATGAATATGACTCTTATGTATGCATGTTTTTACCAAGGTAATGGCTATCTAGCTAATAGTAGATTCATAGAATAAAATAGACAACCCATGTATATATGTAGATGTTGAACAAACGAATGAGTTTAAAACTTATAACCATCAAGGTTATACAACCCGGCGGCATCAACAGATCACTCAACTTCTAAATTCGATTAAAAAGTCGTACGTTTTCAATAAAGATAATTACAAATATGAATCAATCTTACCATTAAAAAATGAGAGTGAGAGTTGAAAAGAAGCATTAAGAAGAAAAATAGCATGATTGAATGAGTAAGACTTATATATAAGTGGTGACAACAACATATGAAGAGAGAAATGGGCTCACATCAACCGTATACATGTGTTGTGGAATGTCAAATATATATAAAAAAAGGATATAACATACATACAAATGTGAAATGTGTATTATTATTATTATTAGCATAGCTTTTTGGGGGAGGGTCGTCTAAAGCTTTTGGTGGGTTTGTGATTATCATTATTGTCTGAAACTGATATGGGTCTTGTTTCTTTTAAATGGACCACCATTTATGAATATTCCTATACTTACATACATATATGTGTGTGTATGTGTATCGTGAGAGAGAGGAGCATCTTTTCAGATGATGGTTTTAACAATGTATGTATGTATGTGGGGGAACTTTCTCTTGATTATGTGATATGTCTCCGGTCCTCTTCTTGTCTATTTTCTTTCTTTTTTAAAACAAATATTCTTTTCTTTTTTCTCTCATAAAATATTAGAACCCTCGTGCATGGGAGAAATGAGTCTATCTTTATATTTATATATCAATTTATGTCATATATTGAATTATTGATAAATACAAATATCATCTTATACATTGCTCTAAAATTTAAAACCGGTTTTATAATTTTGTGCTACAATGGTTCCAACCGGTACCTATACTTTAGTATATGGCCTTTTAGTGACGATGGCCCATGTGTTTGAATCCTCAAAGCTATGATGCTCAAAGAAACTGCAATACAATCAATTTGGATGATCGAGTGTAAGTAACTAAAGCTGATTTCATATGACATACAGTTTGAAAATTGCAAAAAACTACATTACATTTTTGATAGACTAGTAATTTAGTTATACTATTGAACGGGAACAAAATCGGATCTTGGGGGTCTCGGAGGAAGAATCTTCACCTTTCGGGGTTTATTTGAGACTTTCTTAAATTGTTGGGGCTTTTGTGAAATAACCTTCAACTTCAGTGGCTTCGTAGGAATATCTTTCGATATCGGCGGAGGGTTTCTAAGCCTCAACACCATCCCCGTCCTCTCTCCGGGGGCGGCGGCAGCAGAACCCATCTTCTCATCTCCGGTCAAAAACGGATGCAACAACAACTCCGAAGCTGATCCTCTCTCCTCAGGTTTTCTTGCGAAACACTTCTCCAAAAACTGTCTTGCATCACACGGCACAGTCTCTGGAATCTTTGGTGCCTCTTCATCCAACAAAAGAGCCTTAACAGCATCTATACCAAGCCCTGACCATGTCTGCTTACTGGTAAGCATCTCCAGCACTATGCAACCAAGTGACCACAAATCTAGGGTTTTCTCAACGGTGGTGCCGTCGCGGACAGACTCCGGAGACATGTAGATAGCCGTTCCCACCCACGGTTCATGGGCTCTCCAGCAGTCAGATTCGTCTCCGGCCCTTGTCGTCAATCCAAAATCCGAAATCTTGAGTTGGTAAGAACAGTTCCACGTTTCTTTATCGTAAATCGGAAAAAGAAGGAGATTATCCGGTTTAAGATCACAATGGACATAACCGTGACCATGAATGGAGACCAATCCTTGTAGAATCATGCGAGTGAAGTCTTTGATAACCGAATGAGACAACTTGGTTCTGTTTCTTTGAATGAAATTAGATAAAGTACCAGCAGCTGCGTACTCCATCGACATCTTGTAAACTTTGGCTCCATTGCAATCGGTTCCTTGGACGAGGGAGTTACCACACAACTGAATGATGCAAGGAGATCCTCTGAGTTCCGAAAGAACTCGAAACTCTTGGTCGAGCGTACCATAGTTCTCAGAGTCGATGATCTTCACTGCGTTGTAGATCACTGATCCGTCCTTCTGTTTGTATCTGTAGAGTTCGACGGATCCGTAAGTACCCTTTCCCAAAACCTTCACCAATTCCATCTCCTGCGACTTCTTTTGATTAGCTCTGATCACTCTCTCGCGTCTTCTGAAAGTTTTTCGTTGCATCTTTCTAAATCGAAAGATGAAATCTTAAAACTCTCAAAGATTGGTTTGCTCTGATCAATCGCTACTTTGTTTTATAAACTCTTTACTGCATAAATTTAAAACCCTAGATGAGAAATAAATAGACCTCTAGTTGATTAGGATTTTGGTTGACTGAAAAAAATAATGGAAATTTGGAGTTTTGATTAATAAATAAATTAATAGATGTTATCGCATTAATTATTCGTTGAGATAAAGAAAAGGAAAAGATAGATTTGTAGTGATTGAAATATGGTAAATATCATAAACAAAAAAAGGAAAATATCAGGATCTACCGTTGCACCAACCATCTAATGGATTGTCACCGTTGGATGAAGCATTATATGGAATTTGTTTTGCAAAAGAAATATTATTATGACTGTAAAATGTTAAAACACGTCAAAACTCGATATTCCCTTTTTTTTTTTCCAAATTTTTTGGGGTTTCAAGGAACAAACTCAATCTTTCGCCCAAAGAGAAGGAATAGAACTCATCACCAAACCCTTGTAAATTGTGTAAAATACAACAAACTCAAATTTAACCGATAGCTTAATTTTTATGTTCACAAATTTAACTTGCTCTAACTTTTAACACTCTTTACGAACCAAACAAACTCCTAGGTCCGAACTTTTTTTTCTTTCTTTCTAATTACTACACAGCTTAATAACCTTTGAAAAAACAGAGGAAAAAGAAAAGGAGCCTAATTGCTTATGTAGTGTGTAAACTATATCTGAATACTTGAATATTAGCTTGTTGATTGATTCTCACGCAACCCTCACTAATGCCACACAAAAGCTGATGGAGGAATGAATGTAAGAAACAGAGGAAGCTGCATAAGGGATATTAGGACTTTAACTAAGTAAATTGTGTGTAAAGGCAAAGCAGAGAGAAGATTAAAGAGGACATGAATACTGGTACATCGAACTTGAAGTTATAAACCTACACAATAGTAGTCTTGTACAATTCAGTTCAACTACTATAAGATTGTAAACGAGAAGCATCATTGCAGAACAGAGTAAAAATTCATGAACTATTACATAATTTTACTAATTCATAAAAGAGACTATTACAACCTTCGGATTCAGTGATGATATATACCAAAAAAAAATAAAAATACTTACATTATTCTACTACTTAAAAGAAAAAAAAAGTGAATTAATCAAATATCAGTGTTAACCAAGAACAACTTTAGGGTCCGTGGAGGGCTCTGGCTGAACTCATCAACTTCAAATTAACACATAGTCTTAATTTCGTAAAGCATCTGTCTAAGTTTCTCCAGTTCAAGAGAGAAATCATTCGGCAACTTGTTACTGACATCTCTAGGCAAGAAGCTATGCCTCAACAGTGTCAAAGCGTCTTTTCTCTCATCCGGTTCAAACGCGAAGCAGGTCATGAGAAAGAGCTTTGCATCGTAAGGAAGATCACTCGGAATCAGTGGCTCGTAGCACTTGATGAGATCCTTCAAGTCATAGTTTGTATGCCACCATGGTTGCTTCCCAGTGTACATCTCCAGTACAACACATCCCAACGACCATAAATCAAGTCCTCTCCCTGTCTCGCCGTGAGAGATCGATTCAGGGGACATGTAGATCGGTGTTCCCGCAAACGGTCGACGAGGATGCCACCACTTACTCTCTCCCTCTTTCTTCGCCAACCCGAAATCAGATATCTTCAGTTCGTAAGACGATCTCCACGCACCGTTCTTGTAGACACGACTAGGGAAAACGAGGATGTTCTCGGGTTTGAGATCGCAGTGAACATAGCGGCGTCCGTGAATCGTGGCTAAACCTTCGAGAAGCATGCGAGTAAAATCTTTGATCATCGGCTCAGGCAATATCTCGTCTTTGAAACGGTACATGAAACTCCTCAAGCTTCCTCCAGCAGCGTACTCCATGGGAATCTTGTACTCTACGTAACCCTTGTGGTTGAATGACTCTTGCACTCCGTTCCCGTAGCATTGAACAATTCTCGAACATCCCTTGAATTCCGACAAGACCTGAAACTCTTTGTAGAGAGACTCTGCGTGTCGATCGTCGGAGGTTTTGACGGCGGCGTAGAGAGTGTTGCCGTCGCGTCGTCTTTTGTACTTGAAGAGGCTCACCGAACCGAAGGAACCTTTTCCCAGAAACTTTTCGAACTCCAAATCTAACGCCACCATTGCAAATAGAAAGAACAAAACTCTTTTGATAACTTTGGTTCTAAGCTTTATGAAAAAAACCTTATAAGTGAAAGTGAATTCTGAGAGATTTTGTAATAGCTTGGGGAGAAAGAGTCTCACCTTTATATAATCAATAAATCGACAAGTAAACCGACTTCTCTCACAATTTCCTTTTTCTTTTCCCTTTTTTATTTTATTTTCACCTAAAAAATATAAAAATTTATGAAATATTTTCCTTTTTTCACGGAATGGAAAATTTGAGCTGCTAGGAAAAGGAAATAACAAAAAAAATATCGTTGTGGTAACGACATTTATCATTAAAAAAATAAAAAATAAAGAAGAAAGATAATTCTAATACCCTTCAAATATTATCAAACAATAATAAATAAATCATTAATTGCGCTTTCCTTTACTTTTTATAATTTGGAAATCTATTCTTCTGAAAATATTGCAATTGAAGTTAGGAAAAGTCGTAATCTGGGAAACTCAGAATTAGACTTAAACATAAAATATATGGAAAGTAGAAGATCTGCCGTTGCTCCCATCATCCAACGGATCCTGACCGTTTGATCTAATATTAGGAAAGAAACAATAGATACACTAGACTGATGAGGGTATACTATACACTTTGGACTCTTATTAATTTGGCATACAAGAATGTTCAATGTTTGCTATTATTATTTGTTACACATAATAGTTGGGTATAATCAATCAATAGTCCGGTCCGGACTCCGGATCTCTGAATTAGCTGTTAATCACATCCAACAAATTTGATTATGTATATAAACTTTAGCTCTAAAAAACATTTGCCAGTTAGCTTATTAAAATTTAAGAAATTAGTAATTTGTATAGTGTGTAAACTAATCTAGCTAGGAAACTAGTTATCTCGAGCAGTGCCTCTTGGTTCCTTTACTTAATCCTCACATCAGTTCCTGAACTTGTATTTGTTCCATCATCATCTCTCAATCTCCCCAATACAAACCATATTTACACTAATAATGAAACAGCCAACCATCGAAATTTCACATTAATAAATCAGCAACTGATGCTATTTTTTCTTTTAACAATCAACCAAAGAAACAAACTAACATTAAGATGATAAACACAACACAGAGAAAAACATAAATGAAAAACCAAGACTTTAGAGATGGTTCTGCCAAGGGACAACAAAGCTGGTGAACAGGAAGCAAATTGGATCTTGGTGTTCTTGGCTGCCTCTTGATGATCTTTATCAATTCTCCGGCTTTTTGGAAAATAGACGTAACTTTTGATGGCCTCTTCACAACTGTCCCCAATGTCAGTGCAACTTCCTTCGGACTCTCATTCTTCACATGAGACTTTGTGATCTTGTTAACCTCCCCACTCAAGAAGCTATGCTTCAACAACGTCAACGCATCTCTTCTCTCCTCATTATTCAACGTGAAGCAAGACATGATAAAGTGCTTTGCATCGCAAGGAAGATCACTCGGAATAAGTGGCGCGTACCACTTCTTGAGATCTTCCAAGTCATAGTTTCTATGCCACCATGGTTTCTTTCCAGTGTACATCTCCAACACTACACATCCCAACGACCATAAATCAAGTCCTCTCCCTGTCTCTCCGCGAGAAACCGATTCCGGCGACATGTAGATGGCCGTTCCCGCATACGGACGACAAGGATGCCACCACTTCATGTCTCCATCTTTTTTCGACAACCCTAAATCAGAAATCTTCAACTCATAAGACGACCTCCACGCGCCCTTCTTGTAGACACACTTCGGAAAAACAAGAATGTTTTCGGGTTTGAGATCACAGTGAACATAGCCGTGGCCGTGAATGGTGGCTAAGCCTTCGAGAATCATACGAGTAAACTCTTTGATCAAAGGATCAGGCAATTTCTTGTCTTTGGATCGGTTCATGAAAGTCCTCAAGCTTCCTCCAGATGCATACTCCATTAGCATCATATACTCTATGTTACCCTCAACGTTCAAGCTCTCTATCAATCTGTTTTCATAGCACTGGACAATTCTCGGACAACCCTTGAACTGGGACAGGATTTGAAACTCTTTAACAAGGGACTCGGCGTTTTTGTAGTTGGAAATCTTCACCGCAGTGTACAGCGTCGAGTGTGGTTTCGAATACTTGAAGAGACTCACTGAACCGAACGAACCCTTTCCGAGATACTTAATCAATTCTAACTCCGCTGGCACCATCGTCATTGTATAAAATTACTAATCTGATTTCTTCGGCTCCAAGGTAAGCAAAAACTATAGGTCACGTACGTGATTAAGTATATAGTTATCAGATATATAGCTTAATGGGACTCTATACGAGTCATATATATAGAAAATTCATCTTGTTCAGTAAGAGATTAGTATCCTCAATTTCCTTTTTCATGTAGGATTCAAATCATATTAAGACATAAGTATCCTCAATTTCCTTTTTTTTTTTTTGTTAAATCTCCTTTTAAATTTTACAAAAGAAACTAAACAATGTACTTTTTTTTAATCTCCTTTTTAAATTTGCAAAAGAAATTAACAATTTCCTTTTTTCTGTAAAAAAAAATGGAATTAAAAAGGCATCGCTGCAATACTAATTAATAATCGCTAATTGAAGGAACTACCAAGGCGATCGAAACATATATCAAGTCAGACAGAAATCTACATTATAAATTTATAATTCTTCTTGCTTGCCAGCAATTTCTTTTTTTTTTTTTGGTCAACATGAATTTATACCTAACCAAAGAACTTTCACACTGCTTCATATTTTGAATTTAATATAATCAATCTATTTAAAATCCAAATTATAATATTTTTTCTTAACTTGGCTGAGGATTATTATACCTAAATATTGCATCGTAAACAAAATATGGTGGTAATATAAGGAAAATAAAATGAAAAGAGAAAAGCACATATAGTTTTATTAATCAGGCATTACATAAAAACATATGTCTGACCATAATGAAATTATTTCCTCTTTTATTTTATTTTATTCAAGACTCAAGTTGCCTGTCTAAACAACACAAGACAAAATTGGAAGACATAGTAGGAATTGACAAGAGACGTCAATACTTCCTTGAAAAAATATTATAAGCTTAGTTCAAGTAGTAGGTGAAGAGAGACACAAGGGAAGCTCCAACCAAAGAACCAATAGCCGGAACGGCTACGGAGGCTCCGTTTGTGGCTGGTCCTGGTGCCGGTGCTCCGACCTCTGCAGCCATGACGGCGGTCATGGAAGCAGCAGCGAAAACGACTCCACAGGCAATCTTCTTCATCTCCATTGCTAGGTTGAGACCTGAAAGGGTTGTTTTTTTTCTTGTTTTTTTTTTTTTTGGGGTTAGTTTTGTTAATTTATTATTTTTGTTTCTCGCAGGTCTGAGGATAATTGGACGAGGCTTAAGGGGATTTATACGTGAGGTAGTTATGTTATTTTTAGGACAAAAAAAAATATTTTTAGAAATTACTCAATTAGTATCTTACTAAAATTTAAGAAATCTCTTATTCCATTGTGTGTGTGGCTTTGAGTGATTTACGCATTTCCCATCAATAAATTTACCTGGTCAAAATTACCTTGTACGTAAACTTTAGTTCATTAGCTGATTTCTTACCACCTTGATTGTTCTTTCTTTTGACGAAAACCATTATATGGATAGTTGAATTGAACATTATGTTATAAAGTCGGTCGAGATGAGTGATGTTTGTTTTAGTTGCAAAATACTTAATGGCGAGGGAAAGATGGAACGATAAAAATGATGAGACATTCCATAATGGAGTCCTCAGCCATTCTTAGAATAGGAGTCTTCATGATCTTTCTCATTTAGTTGACCTTATCACAATATGGCTTTGTAATATATCTTTTTGTTGTTCTCACTTAGTTACTTTATATATTTTTTTAAAGAAATATTTGATTTATGTTTTTTAGTTTTGGTAAGATTTTATTATTCATATTATGAAATGTCTTACACTCTTACCCATCTAAATTCTCCCTCTAGTGGATATTTGTCTTCAGCTAAACTAACACAAGACATATATATATTTGTTGATATCTCAAAAATGGATACTTGAAGCTCATATATATAGCAAAGGAGTGTAGGACTGTTGAAAAGAAAAATCTCCCAACGTAGTTGACTTGTTGTGATGGTTGATTTGTGGCACAATCACAACACAAAGAACTTCACTTCATCCATAATTGTATAACATGAGATTTGATAAAACTCGCATGCTTTTTTTTTGTGTGTGTTTAAATGGGTTATTCAAATAGTTTAGTGGATCTTCGATCATTACGTTTTCTTATCTAATGGATATTTTTTAAAGAGCTTAAAAGCCCACTAAACAGACATGATTTTGTGTGCTTGAATGGGTTATTCAAATAGTTTATACATATACCTTGTTCCTAACCTGCAAAGACTATATATCAAAAACCTTAACAACTTTTTTTCAATAAAGTAGATTTTGCTGGTAGAAATTTTGGTACTAACATTGTGAATGTAAAAGAAATAAGAATCAACAAAGTGAAATTTGAGACTTTCGGGGAATAATAAAAGAGAATAATCAGAAGGAATGAATAATTAAGCTTCTTCTGCTATGCTTTTTCTTCAACCCTACTTTTATTTTCTTCTGTTTATGCTTCTTTTTCTTTCTGTTTGGTTTTGATTAAAGTTGCTGAGTCTCAATCAGCTTTTTCTCCTCTTTTAAAATTAAATCCAAAGAAAAAATGTTTTTTAAAAAGGAATAAATTCTTATAAGCAGAAGAACAAAACATATATATTCGAGGGATGAGTAATAAAATAAATATATTCGCAAATAGGTTTTTGGTGTTATCTTGAATAAGATACTCCGCATAAGTCTTGTGATTTATATGTGTTTGATCACATCACCGCAACAAAAAAAAAAAACTTTTTGGTTAAATTGAAAATCACTTAAGAACAAACATATATGCACCGAAAGTTAAATCACTGAAAGGTAACGATCACCTATTCTTTTTTTCTTCTTCTTCTTCTTTAAAAAAAGGTATTACCCGATTAAAGAACAACTTAAACATCATCATACCACAGTATAAGCAGAAGAAGACAAAATATGTGAACAGAGAATGATTAAACATGTTCGCACACTAATCTTGGTTTCTTTCTTTTTCCTGATCAAAGAATACTGATAAGAAAAGAGTCCTAAGAGAACAGTCACGTGAGCTCGAGTTTTTTTTTTTTCGTGTTGCTGCACCAAGGAGAGAAATAGATTTTAACATTTTTATTTTATCGGATTTAGATAATATAAAGTATTATTATTTTTATTTTTTTTGTCATCTTATAAAGTATTATTAACAATAAGAGAATTAGCCGAATATATTAATTAAATCAACCCACCAGGCCACCACCGCAACACAAAGCTAAATTTGTATATTCCAAAGCATTTTTAAAAAAAGAAAATGTGGTTGATCAATGTTATCAAGAATGGACAAAAAAAGAAGTAAAGAACTTAACTTAAAGAATCTTTATTATATTACATTTTAAAGATATATCACTGTCACCTGCCCCATAAACCACATTCACATCCTAAGAGCATCATTATGGGCATAACCCCAAAAATGCATCTTAGGGGATGTTTAATATATTAATAATGTAATAGTTAATTTTAAGAACCAAACAAAATATGATAGTTATTGGTTGAACCTGTATATTTTTAAATTTATAATAATAAAATAATGTAAAACTTATTAATAATTTTATTAATTAATTTTATAATTATAAAAAAGAAAAATATATAACAAAAAAAAGATACAAACAAAAGATTAATCTTTTTAAAACCAACAAAAATAAACACCCTATCACAACTATCCACGTGGCTTAAAACTCTGCTACCAAAACTTCTTCGCTACAAACCGAATGCCTCTTAAAAATACACTATTACCATTATTTGGGTTTTTTTAATTCCTCTAAGCCCCGATCGAATAGGGCTTTAATGATGCTCTAAGAAATCCAAAATAAATCCTTCATAGATTAGCCCCCACTCAGTTCTACACCCAATACCTTTTTTTTTTTTTTGGGCAAACTACACCCAATACCTAATATATTAATTTATAGCACTAATAGTCACATAAGCAAAAAATAGATAGTGAGTCATTACTCATTACATAATTACTAGACACATGTCTAACACGAAATTTGCTTTTAAGGCTCCTCTTGTTTCTCCCACAAAGCAGAAAGAACATTACAATAAATAATAACTAAAAAAATTAGATATTAATATAATTTCATTTCAGGGTACTCATTATAACAAAAACGATAACAAATAGTCATAACAAAAATAATTATAAAAAATAATAATATTAATAACAATAATAATAATGGGAGAAAGAAATCCTAAGAAAAAAATTGAAAATGGGAGAAAGAAAAAACCAAGAAGGTTTTGTTTTTTTATCTTTCTCTTCTCCTTTCTTCCCCCATAAGCCTTTTTCTTGATTTGTTTCCCTTCCTCTTCTTCTCTTCTCTAAATAAAATAAAAAACAGTTTTTTTTTTTGTGAAAATTAATTTGATTGACCAAAAACAAAGAAAACATCTTTCTTCTCTCTTCTTTGTTAATCTTGTTACCCTTCTACCCACCACCACCTGTAAAAAAGAGGTTTTTTATCTACCATAATATATAGAGAGAGAGAGACTTTGCTTTGGTCCTCTCAGTTCTGCTGAGCAACAAGCTGATCGAGCTGCATTTGCTCAATCCAAGCTTCTAGCCCAGCATGATCCATCACCGGTTCAATAGGATTTGGCTGCTTCACGTTTTCCCCTGAGGAAGAAGCTGTTGCTGCTTTCTCTTTGGCATCTGTTGGAGACTCCTTCACCAATGACTGTACCCATGACACATCAGGCTCTTCACCATCAAACGATGAGGATGATCTCAACTTACCAAGCGCCTCTGAGCTCATTCCCCAATCCGGTTGACCATTTGAGGAGCCCCATTTGGATGACCATGAGTTGTTGTTTACCGGTGAACCAACGATCGGGCTTGAGTTTGTTCTGAGCTCTCTGGAGCTGAGGCTACGGAACTGATGTTGCTGCTGTTGTTGTTGTTGTTGTTGTTGTTGTTGTTGCTGCTGCTGCTGCTGTTGCTTCACGCACTGAGCCAACATGGAGACACGAGAACTCATGGGGGAAATTGGCTCAACCACGTTCCGAGGAGACATTCTTCCTCCACCTGAAAACAGTGAGTGATCAACGCTCTTTGGTGAAGAAAAGCTTGTGTTGATTGGAGACAACATGCTCTGCTGCTGCTGTTGTTGGAACTGGTTGAAGACAGCTGATTTGTGCGTGGGAGAGAACACCGCGGAAGCTAAAGAGGAATCGGTAAACCGAGGAGACGAAGAGCCTTCTGCTGAGAAAAGATCTTCAAGATTGGAAGGAGGCATTGATTTCATCCGACCAGAACGGCTTAATGAATTGGAAAACTCGTTAAGGAGCTGCTGCTGTTCGTAATCCGCTAACATATTGAACTCGTCTGTCGGGATATCTCTTGCATTGAGAGAAGACCTTAGCCTGCTCGACTGTAGATTGCTTCCGGGCAAGTGCAGAGCCGGGACATTTGGCTGTGGCCAAGCCATGTTTGAATGAGACATCCCGTTCCCCGCAGCTGATGGCGAAAGCGGGGACATGACAGAGACTCCTGATGGGGAACCAGGAAGGAGACTCAAAGCCGCTGCATAATCAGCATTCGATCGAGGCGAAGGAACTGCTGAACCCGTTGATGCATACAAAGGTCGAAGCTCCTCGGGTGTATGCGCAAAGAAACAAACACGCCGAGCACAGCCTGTTCCATCTTTGCAGAGACGGGTCCTGTATTGAGCTGGATGCAGCCAGCATTCAAACACACCGTGTGCATACTCACACATATCTCCTCGTCTACAAGCTCCTTTCCTGAAATCCGGGCACGGGACGCAGCTGTAGTGGAACTTCCTCGGGTCTCTTCTCCTGGCGTTTTCACCGGGGTGAACAAAAGGACACTCAGTCCAATCATGCGAATACGCACGCGAGCAAGGCCGAACCTTGAAGGAATACATTCTGAACTCATCAGTCGCGTAAATGCTGTTCTTGATATCCGGTAAAGACGGATCAACCGGATACTCTTTCTTGAACTCAGTCGATTTCAGCTTAAACGGAGAATCAAGGGGAGAACCAGACCCCGACCCACCATTCTCACCAGTTGGAGAATGTGATGGAGAAGAGCTTCTTCTATTCGGAACATTTGTCACAACCCTTAAATTCCGCTCAGCGGTCGATGATCCATCAGCAGAAAGAAGCTCCTGAAGCATCAGCTTCACACCTTCAAGCTTAGGAGGAACAACTATAACATCTCCAGCTCGTTGACCTTCAGCATCCAAGAGACTCAAATCAGCTCCAGCGGCAAGAAGCAGCTTAACAACTTGGATAGCATTCACAGCTCCTCCTGAAGCAGCACAGTGTAGCGCGGTGGTCTGATCATTCCCACAAGCGCGGTTCACGTTAGCATCAGTCAAAGAAACAATAAGCTTGATCACATCTATACTCCCATAAGTAGCAGCAACCATCAACGGAGTCCTCTGATCGTTGACCATAGTCTTGGAACCTTTTTGACGACCGTACCAGAGACCAGCTTCATCTACACAAGAAGGGTCTCTCTCAATAGACAGCCTTACACCTTCCACATCGTTGTTAGCGGCGAGCTCAAGCAAGCTTGCAAACGTATCCTCTGTTTCGACTCTCAAGTGATTCATGTCTGTGTTGTTAAAAAGATTGTTATCCTCGAATGGAACTGGCGACGAAGATCTTGATGACACGATCTGATTTAATCGGTCTGATCCACAGCACATACTTCCATCTGTAGAATCGGATTCTGTAAACATCATCAAAAGAATCACAAACTCAATCAAAAAGACCACTCACATATATTATATATAAATAACTAATATATCGAACATTAAGATATATTGAAAACCAAAAGAGAATATTTTCTGATTCTCTTATCCATTGATTTCTAGATCGGAATACTCAAGTTAAGATAAATCTCAGGTAAAGTCATATTCGGACAAGAAGAAGAAGGTTTTGTCTGAAAACAAGACCATGGCGTATTAACCAATCACAAAATCAACCGTTTTTTGAAAACCAGGCAAGTCAAACAGATTTCAAAGAAGAAGCAAGCAGGATGAAGTTCTAAAGAGCCTACTTCTAAAAATAGAACAGAAAACGCACTCCCAGAAAGAGCAAAAAAATCCGATCAGAACCCAAACAAAAAAAAAAAAACAAACAAATCTTTATCCGGAATTTTTTTTTTTTTTGCAGAAAAACCAAAGTCAAATAGGCAAAAAAAACACAAATGGTTCGTAGTTGCATGTTATTTACTCGTTTTATTCGTCCACAGAGATAAGAACGACGTAGAAAGAAAGACTCTTTGAGATTAAGAAAGAACCAAATAATATCATCAAAAACAAACAAAAAAATATTGATTCTTCCATAGTAGTAGCCCACATCGAGCTGCTAGAGGCTTCCGATGATCAAGCAATCTCACCTTTATTTTATTATCCTCGATTAAAACAAGTTCAACAGAACTCAAGCAAATCCATAACTTGAACGGAACTTCGATGGGTTATTCGTGAAATAAAATCAATTTCTAATAGATCTACAAGAAAGAAAGAAAAAAAAAAAAGAAGAAGAAGAAGGGAGTGTTAAAGGAATACAAGTGAGAAGAGAAAGAGGAGAGGAAAAGAATTAATCTGGGAAAAAAAAAGGAATATAAAAGAATCAAACGGTGAAGTCGTCTGTCTTTTTATTTAGAGAGAAGAAGAAGAAGAAGAAATGGTGAGAGAGCTAGTTCTTCTACAATCTCCATTTCCCAAGCTCAGATCTCACTAGAAAAGTATTTAATTTACACCCAAAAATAAATAAATACTTATTATTTTATTTTTAATGAGAAAACATTTTTTCGACACTTCGTTTTCGTTCAATGAAATTTTAATAAATATCGCTATCCAATAGGGAAAGCTATTTTAAAATAAACATTTTTTGTAATATAAAATAATCAAAGAAAAAGACAAGCGCTACTACTAAATACTAGTAATACGAGAGATCTTATTCTAACCCCCTACCCCGTCTTGCGAATTGTGTTTTTAAATCATCTAAACCAATAAGAAACCTCCACGTCATAACTAAAACAGGCGAACTCAAGGGTAAAACCGTCATTCTGACTTGCATAGGCTGATATGGCGGGTTATGATTGGGTGACATCGGAAGTGGACACGCATGTAAGCTTTTGATGTGTTTTGTCCTTTTGGGTCAAATTAATTCCCCAGTAAATTCCACTTAATACAGCTTCCTAAAATAAGGGGTTAGCAATCTAGTGAGTCAAGTTACATGGTAGTTTATAAAGCCTATTCTGCTAGCAACGTGGCGTGAAATGATTGGACAATATATCCCCGTTACAAGAGGAAACCTCTAGAGACGCTCTCGTCTCTCCGTCAGGTTTTTTTTCAAAGAAATTTCCAAATTTGCCATTATAAGGAGAACTTCACAAAGAAGAAACAAAATTCCCAAATTACCCTTTTTAATCTTTTGTCGAGGAAGAGAGACGGACACGTGGAACAAAAGCATCGAGCAATGAGCACAATAAGAGACACGGGATATTTCAATTGACACGACCGGGTGCACCGGTGAACATGGTGGTACGGATGGGTGATGGGAAAGACTTATTCAAGTAGGAGAAAGTAAACGGGAGCAACCGGTAGCCTGTGAAGAGGGCGTAACTGAGAGGGAATAATAAACGAGATTTAAGAAAGGGTAACTGGCGTCCACCAAGCGTACCGGGGGGGGGGCTCGGAACGGACGTGAACATTTTATTTAATTCCAGTTTAATTTTGTGAGAGTCAATCATATACCTTTAAGGAGGAGAAGATATATAATCAGTGGGCCTTTATTGGGTGGGTAATATTTATATTTTCTTCTTCTATTAAAACAGAAAACAAAACTAAAATTACTTATTCATTGCAACAAATTTTCCAATACACCTATAAAAAAAAAATGTAAAAATCACTCAAATGACACTGTTTGTTTTTAAACGGAAGAAGCATAGAGTAGTGTCTTGCAAAATATTAAAACGTAAGAATTTTATGATCATAAAAAAAAAATGGAAAGACAAAGAAGGTACAAGAGACATGAAAAGGAGGAACATATATCAAATATGGAAACAAAATCTAATGGATGCTGGCAGCAGCTTGAGAATCTATTTTGGAGTTACTTTACTATACCAGTAAATAAAGTTTTTACCAACTTACGTCTTTTCTTACCAAACTATCCAAGAAGAATTCAATATACATAAAACCTCTATAAATTAATAATGTTGGGACCATGAAAATCTATTAATTTATAGAGGTATTAATTTATCGATAAATTAATAATTATTAATTTATAGAGAGATATTCCTAATTTGAAAAATATTTTCAAAACAATATTTAAAAAAATAGATTTAATCATGATAATTAGTATTTTATATAATCAATTACAAATAAAACAATAATTATTATGTATTAAAAGAGAATGCTAACTATTTTTCATATAGTAAAATATTAGAAATAAAATCTAATAAAAACTAATATGTATATATATACATATATTTTGAAAATTTTACCTAATTATTAATTTATAATATTGATGGGACCATATATTTATAAAGGATTTTCCAAAAATTTATTATCTTATTATTTTATCGAAATGTGTCTAAAATTACACTGGTCCCAAGTTGGGACTGGAGAAATTTATTAATTTATAGAGATTATTAATTTATCGAGTATTAATTTATAGAGGTTTTACTGTATAAGGTGGTAAAATAAAAAATAAAATAAAAAGTAAGTTTTTTTTTTGAAACTTGAATTATTCTGAATTTCACTTATTACCTTACATGTAAAATATATAAATATATATTTGTAATGGCAGATTCACTGATTGCTCTATGTTGTAATATTCAATTTCAAACATTACTTATAAATTCAAAACGCTTTATACGAAGTTGAGATGTTATTATATTTTGCATGGATTAAAGAGCTTGTTTTGAAGATTGCTTAAACTTTAGTCTTTCTTAAAGCTTCTTAAAATTTGTTATTTGATTACTTTTTCTTTTCTTAAACTCATTGGCCACTCTAGCTCGGTAGTGAACATGTTACCAATTCTAAATGATGGTCTAAAACATTGCGTCGATATGACCAATATTAGGAAGAGAAAATAACTCAGAAATGTCATCATTATATATAATTATATATGGTTGTTGGACGTATATAAAATAGTAGATTGAAGATTTAAAATAATTTCAGCACTCTGTAAAAGAAAACAAGATTTCCTTGATTAAAATGTCTATATAGTGGTCCAACAAAACCAATAGTAAAAACTAAAAACCAGCTTGTTGATTGAAACAAAATTGATAATGATATTATAAATAAACGACTATAATTAAAAAGATTAAGATAAAGGGAGATTAGTATTGTAGTATAAATTAATAGTGGAATTGTAGTCCCGTGGTGAAAATAAAATTAAACAAAGCTTAAGATTCATCGGTATAATTGAGTTAAAGTGTTTCTTTTTCCAAAGAATATATGCATAGTATCTAAGGTTGGTGTTATATTGGTTTAAGCTGTATATAACCTTGGAAAAGCTTAATTTCCACCCAAATTCAAATGTACTGATGTTATAGTTCTGTTATTTCATTTTATGTCGGCCAAAAAAAATAAAAATTTGATGTCGGCAATTTTGTTTATTGTTTATCGTGTTAATTCTATTTTCTTTCCTCATCCCATACTTTAACTAATTTGAAATAATAATGGTTAATCATACGTAATTATTGCTCGAGTTTTGACGACCTCAAGCCCTCGTCCAGTGAGAGGAGAACACTATCGAGGCTGCACACCGCTCACTAATCATTACTATAGTATATATTAGTGATTACTTATAATTTTTAGTCTCAGTGCATCATGCTCCATCCGCTAAGTAACAGATAAGGAAATACTAAAGTTACGAAAAAAAAACAAAAAGCGTTATCCTCATGCACGAGATAACTTTTGGATCATGTGGATTAGTGGATAACGAGAAGATAATAATTAATGACCAATCATCATCACACAATAAAATTGTTAATCCAAAACAAATCTCAACAAATGTAGTAATATGGTTAGAAAGCTATTTTTAAATATGCTATACAAAACTTAAAACACTAGCAAGTATTATTATTTTTGCTCCAACTGATAAGTAGCATTGACAAACAAAACCATTCTCTTAACATTTCCAATAGACTTTTGAAAAAGTGACACGTGTGTGGGAGAACAACTAGGGGGAGAGTAGCAACTAACAATAATGGAAGGGGACCGAGTGACCAAACTTGGGCAAAGGGAAAATAAAAATGCGAGTGTGAGTGAGTGTGTTTACTTTGTGGTGTGTTTTGTCTGCGTCTCTCTTTTGTTTTGGTTTCCACGTGAACACTTGCCCAACTCTTATAGCTTTGTTGCATCCACAGGGCACAACTTCTTCCAAACTATCTTATCACTATGCTTTCGTTTTCTTTTTTACTTTTAGGAAGTTCAGGGCAACTTAATCTCTCTAGCATTTGCCAATGGTAACTAAAACATATCTGATGATGTTTTGCATTATCAGATAACCGATTTAGTTACCACTATATATTGTCCATTGGTTTCGTTCATATATATTATCATATGTTTTTGCGTTATATATTGATAAAGCACCAACATTAGACTATTATTTATGAAAGTTTGTAATGTTTACAATTCATATTATATCATATGTACACAACAAATTTTGTCGAGCACATATGTTTGTTGATAGCTAAGAGATGACTTTTCCATGAATGGGTTTGTGAGTGACTAAAGTACATCGTTGGTACTATATGGACTCCAAATATATAAAACATATCTTGGAAGCCAACAATATACATATGATATAGGGTTTTTGTAAGCCGTTATAACTTGATTATGTCGGTCACGATGACAATTTATTCGATTTTCGTTTTTCTTATAATGTATTTTACATTAATTTTTGGTAATGTTTATACTATTTCTGTTAGACCTGAACCAAAATGAGAGAATTGACGACGTCTCAGTTCGGACTAAAAGATGAAGAAACTTAATTCGGATATTCTTTTTTTTTTTTAAATTACTTTTTCCAAAGGGCATACACCTTAATTCGGATATTCTATATATACATATCTTCGTAATTATTATTACACAGTCAAGACGTTACTCCTTAATAAATAATTGATTAATATGAAGTTATGGATTATTATTCGTTATCATACATTTACATTTACATATGTGCCAAGAGACAAGCTTAAAGAGAAGGTCATGTGATGAGATGGCTACTGAATTGAGAGATATGTCTCGCTTTCAAAGAGTTTGGTGACGTTGAGTGTAGATATTAAATAGAGGAACATCATAAACATAGTTTTCGTTTATATATATATTCTCGATATGTAGAGAACAGCCATATAGGTATTAACTTATTCGAGAAAACCACAGATAAAATCTGATTGTGGATCTATTGATGATAGAAATCGGTAAGAGAACTTCTGCATGAACAAAACAGCAGTACGTAAAAATTATACTTTTTAAAAAAAAAATTATAGTTTATCATACAAGAATGTTGGATATTTTTTAAAAAGGTAAAATGATTGATTAAAAACTTGTTTAGCTTTTTTTTCTTATAGGTTAAAAACATCTTTTTTTTTGAAACAAGCTTAAAGACATCTTAAGTCTCGCCTCATCAAATTTTGTAGTTGTGAGCTAAGAAAATGATAATCAAGTTTGCAAATATATACTGTTTTAGGAGAAAATATATGTTACACCTGACACCTCGATC